TTACAACTCTGGCGGGATTTGCATTCTGGCAGTATATACCAGGACAATTGAAGTCCTTTGATCTCAGCTCTTACCCCTTTATTGGACTTTCAATTTGTTGTGAAGCTGTTTACATTCCCCAATTTTGTCTGTTTACCCTTTGCAATTTCGATCGCTGGCAGTATTTACTTTTCAAATAAATTACAAACGGAAAACTTTTGGAATTGATTTCATACGATTTGGCAGATTAGGCAACTTCCAAGTTTATGCCAAAAATATTCGCTTTCTGTGCAAAATTAAATTCCATTTCACACAAAACTGGCTTTGAAATTCATTGCACGACTGATTAAAATGACAAATTTAATTAACTTTCCGTTTTGCGTCAAAAACAAAACCCAAATGCCTTTGTGGAGAGCTGCACTGTGTCCTTGTTGAACCCTGTTTTTCAGCTTATTTATCCTTAAAATTATTATTATTTCATGTTGACATATTTTCACAGATTTAGAAGTCTTTTTTGGACATATTTATGTTAAATATTTAAAGCATTTTAAGGTTCAATTAGATGTTCAAATTTGTTTAGCAGAAAGTATCTAAAAAATCATAACAAAAGCCTAAATGTACCTAAACGGTCATGGCCAAGTTGTTTACTTAATTTTATTAGCCGCTTAAAGAATCAAATAAAACACTTGAACCATATTTTGGTCCCTAAGCGGATTTTCCTAGAACGATGGCCTAATGGAACGCCGTGGACAAAAATGTGTTTCAGAATTAATGGGCAAGTGGAAAGGCTCCGGCACGGCTGCTCTCTTTCTGGCCATCTTAGGGTCCTTTCGGATGATTTGTTTTCGGCTTTCGGTTCCTCCTTTGTTTGACTGACACACCTGAGTGGTGACGAGCTTTGTGGCTCTTAGCCAGGCAGCAAAGTCCTGCCATCTCCTTGCAGCTGGCATCTGGGGTGCATAAGCCTCTTGGAGAGGTCCTCAGATGGACGTCAGTCTCATTTCTTGGGGCGCTTCTTGAGCAGTTGGCCTCGCCGAGTCCTCTTTGGATTCCTTGGAGATATGCGGCGCCCCCAGTTCACTTTTATATTTCTACCCCTGGGAGGAATATATACTCACATATCCTTTTGCATGTGTAGTGGCAAGTGCACTTGACTGTTTCGCCCACATCCTAGACATCCACATCTTGCATCAGTTGACGGTTCGCCGGCCGGTCACAATGGGAATCGTATCTTAAAGGTGCCGTGGCTTAATTCCGACCAGATTGAATACTTGACATGCTCTAATGCGGTACAGATCTCGGTTCTGGCCAAGAGCTCTCCCTATCTAGGTTTTCTTAGCCATCAGTTTGGGCATTCATAACTATGCCACTGAGAGAAAGTAATTTACATTAAAATTCTTCTCCGAAAGGGTTGGCATTTAGCATTTATTTATCAGCCCTTAGCGAGAGTCCTTAGCTGGAAATTTTGTTGAGCAAACTGGCGTGAATAACATTTTTAATTTTATTATTTATAAAATAAGCTTTAGTTCCTTGTAATTTGGTTGTGGCATTCAAAAGTTATACACTGAAAAATCACTTGGCCACAATATTATTATCCATGGCATTATCAACTGTTGGCTAGCTATCTTATAGTCGGCCTGGTATTAAGTGGTCTTCAGAGTTTGCGGCTAATTACTCTAACGATTTAGTAAGCTACCATATTTTATCCCAGTGGAGTGTTATGCCGTTTAAGTGCCTGTTGATGATGGCGGCCTGAAACTTTCTGTTCTGTCACAGCCTTGGGCCGCATCCATTGCATTTAGAAAGCCACCTACATCCTGCAGCCTCCATTTCGTCGTCCTTTGGACTGGTTGGTGGGAAACGTGGCGTTATGGTTAGCCCGCCCAGGGGACAAGCCGGCTGAGTGCAGATGAGGACTGCAATAAACTGGCATACATAAGTGAAAATTGTGAAATGAATACTGACTGGCGCGAGCATAAATCAATACACCCATGGGGGTCATGGGCTCTCGTGGCAACACAACAAAAAATGAAAAGAATTGCAACAGGGAGGAGCTCCCCGACTAGGATTGTACCTCTAACAGCTGTTTATTTTTTTTCCATTTAAGCTGAAATCAAATCCCAGCAGCCTAGGCAGCCCAGGCAACCCTCTGGGAGCTGGGTGTGTTCTAAAGGCGGTGGCACATTACACGTCTGATCCGGACACATGTGATTCCACGCGTGGGTTAGCATCTTTTGCAGCTCTGGCTCAACAAAAATTTGATTCCGGCGCAAATATGATTTAAAGTGTTTATGGAACGGACGTGAGCTTCAATCCAACGCTCCTGCGAGTCCTGTAAACCTAAAACATACACAATTTGCATTCGTTTTTGCATATTATTAAATTTTGAATGCAAATTGTAGCCCGTTGTTGCCCTATTCAAATTCATTCATAAAGAACTACGCAAAATTAAAAGGGTGCTCGGGGCTCAGCAAGAGTATGAAATTAATTCAAAGTCGTAATAATCACTGAAACTTTCTCAATTGCCAACTTTTGCCTTGGAATTTTTTCGAATATGTAAATATTACACGAAACTGGGGAGTTAGTAGTTGTTTTAAAACTAGTTTTAATATTGTGCTACTTAAGAAAGATTACTCCACAAAGAGGTTTAAAGTCAAAAACATTTCAGGCTTAAATAAGCGATTAAATTTATGTATTTTTGGCACCAGCTTTCATTTTTCCAAGACTCATTCCAAGGATACTCTAGCCCAGAGAACCGCAATGATTGTGGAAACTTCTTTCGTGGATAACGAAGAGGAAACTGATAGCTGGGGAAATTGAAACTTAATTTAAATAAATTATGCTCGCTCTGTTGCAAGCGTTGTTAGCGATTTCCAGCTGCAAGTGGCCGGGTAATTGTTTCCGAGCAATCATCCCGCGGCTTTTGCAAAAATTGCCGCAGCAACCGAACAGAACACTTTAAACCATTTCCACTCATAATTAAATTTTCGAGTGCGGACGGAATTATGGCGGCGGAAAAACAAAGGGCCAAATGCATTACCATCTACCATCTACAATCTGGTAATGCAAAAAGCTTGTGCAACCAGCCAAAAGCCGCATATCCGGAATGTAAAAATGTGCGCCTAAGTGATGGTTCCGGCTTTGTTTAGGACTCGCCTGCCAGCTTGCTCGCCAGCCGCTGGTGTCCTTGCCGAGTCAACAAAAAATGGATATGTCCAAGGACCGGCCCTTAATCGAATCAATTTTGAATGCTCTAAAAGCCATTGGCCCTCTAACATCTCTCTGCTTAGTTGAATCCTTAGAAGCTGATGAATGAGTCCTAGAATCGCGTTTTGTCACAGCAATTGCCTCTGTTTCAGAGTGTCTCTCATGTTCTGAATTACATTTTGTTTTTCATACAGATGTCCCATTCAACAGGTTACGGCCAATTGCTTGCCCAAAAAGAAGTGATTCAATTCAGCCAATCAAAGAACTGCCTGGTCGATCTTAAAGATATTTAAAGCGGGTTTTCCAAGGTGCCTTCCTGGAAGGACCTTCCGAATCATTAAAAACTCGTTCGTACTGCCAGAAAGCCAAAAGCAGCCGGTGCACATTTCAAATTAACTGGCAGACGACCTCTGTAAGCAGCTTGCCACTGTCAACATGTTGCAAATTCCCTTGCCAAACGAAAACGAAGAACATATTCACATATCCTTTCTGAATGATTAATTGCCAATGCCCTCACTTGCCTCCTCACTCCAACTTTCAAACGCAAACCAAAACGCATTCGATTTTTAATGAAACCGATTTCGCTTTCAGTTGGAACAAATGGCAAACAAAAAGTGGCAGCAGAACCAGCCAGTTCAAGAGCAAAGACAAATTTCAATTGGCCAATTAGTGCTATTTAAATGGCACAAAGGCCTCTGGCAAAACAAAAACCGATTCCCGTCATTTTCAAAAGCGGAACTATGCATATAGTACTCGTGTTTTTGAGGGACACTGCCGTCAACTGTGCTTTCTGTTGTTCCACAAAGGAAGCGAGTTGAAAGCGCTCGAGCATAAATTTGAAGGATAAGGGACAAACGACAGAGGACCACGATTCTGGGGTCACGGGTCACTCTTCTAGAGCTTCACCCTGACTCTGAAGTCGTTCTTCAGCTGCTGGCAGTTGCCATTTGGCTGCTGAACAAGTTTCTTCCAAGTGCTGTTTATGCTGCGCAAAAGTTTTGCGTTTGCGTTGTGTTTGAGTTGGAAAGCACTGGCGGCAGGACCTCAAATTATGCCTGCCTTCCGGATTCCGGACTCCGCCCAGGACTCACGTGGACGCCTGCTAGTTATTTAATAAGCAATTAAGTTTCTCTAATTAAATACGCCTGCTAGGGGATTTACATAATAAGCACCTCGACTATCCTGGCCACTGTTAATTGATTTTCTGTCCAAGTGCGAGTCCGTGTCCGATTCCGAATCTTGTTACTTGAGTGATTTGGTCTTGCTGGGCAGACGAATCCTTCTAGATCCTAGTGTCTAACGTAAATATTTGATTAACAAGTAAATAATTTTGCAGCTCCAAGTGCTTAAGTTGTAATGTACATAGATTATACTCGTTTAATGGTAGGTGTTGTTTAAAAGTTTCTCGGCATTGTTCGTACAATGTTATTGGTTTTCAGCTGTCCCAAGGACTTCCGCCCACCATCGGCATTCCCTCGGGTTTTTCCAGAAGAAAGTCAAAGTCAAGTTTTAAGGGTCTCTACGGGAATCCTTTAGGTGAATTTTATGAACCCATTTAGCAGGAAATAATTTAATAAATAAGCTGCTTGTGCTGCTTTACATCCAGAAAGGAGTCCAACCGGGCGTATACCTAATATAAATGCCAAGTATTAAGTATACCCCGGGCAGTCATTAGGAATACTGTTTTATAGTAAATCCAAAAATGTCTTTAAGAAATTGAAAGCAAACCTAGTGAAGCAACCTCATACGCTTAATTAAATCAAGATCCGGAGCTAAACTGCGTTTTATCTGTCCCCATTTCAGTGTCTGAGGCCAAGAGCTAATTGCAGCTAACCCGATTGGCGGTGAGCAAACGGAAAATGCTTCGTGACAGCGGTAACCACTATCCGGCAGCACCACCGCTTCCCCTGGCATCCTGGCCGCCAGCTCCTGCACCACTGAGGACATCACCGAGCCCTGTGGTTGCGACACGCGCCGGCCTTGCCAAATGCGGCATTCGAGGCGCTTCCAAGTAAACAAGCGCAGTTTCCGCGTCCACCTGCCCGGCACGTCCTGGTACGACATTTTCGGGGACTACCGACCACTACCAACCCGACATGGAGGCCATCATCCTGTCGACGCTGCCCTCATTAACGACCAATGCTTCTGGCAGCAGCAGTTACTGGCTAACAGGAGCGCTCTCCCTGCCCGAGATTCTGGCCAACTCGAGCGGGAGTCCAAAGACATCTTCGGCGGATACGGGCTCAGGGGCCAGCGATAGTGAAAGGCATTTCAACATCTCCGCGGAGGCAAGGTATAAGAAGTTAATGATTTTTGGAGTTACTGCTTGACCTGCTGCAAAGATTAGCTGAAAACTAATAGGATTTTATTGTCTATATCAGCAATTACAGCTACTACCCTGGCTACATCCACTACCGCGACAAGTACGACCTGAGCTATATTGCAAAGGTCAACCCTTTTTGGTTGCAGTTCGAGCCGCCACGTACGAGCACCTTTTTGGTCATGGCCGCCCTGTACTGCCTCATCTCGGTGGTCGGCTGTGTGGGCAATGCATTCGTTATCTTCATGTTTGCCAACCGAAAGTCACTCCGCACTCCGGCCAACATCCTGGTGATGAACCTGGCCATCTGCGACTTCCTGATGCTCGTCAAGTGTCCGATTGCCATCTACAATAACATAAAGGAGGGCCCGGCTTTGGGAGACGTTGGTAAGTTTGACGTTTCATTTGCACTGAAGGAAATTCTAGATAGGGGATAGATTACTAAATGTTGACCACTTGTGAGATGCGTTTCTTAGGCCATAATACTTAGTAGCTTTTGGAGTAACTATAAACCGTCTTCACAATCTATTGCAGCCTGCCGCATCTATGGATTCGTGGGCGGACTGAGTGGTACGTGTGCCATCGGTACCCTCACCGCCATAGCTCTGGACCGGTATAACGTGGTGGTGCATCCGCTGCAGCCACTCCGACGCTGCTCCCGCCTCCGCTCCTACCTGATCATCCTGCTGATCTGGTGCTACAGCTTCCTGTTCGCCGTGATGCCTGCCCTGGACATCGGACTGTCGGTCTATGTACCGGAGGGATTCTTGACCACCTGCAGTTTCGACTACCTGAACAAGGAGACACCAGCCCGCATCTTTATGGCACTGTTCTTCGTGGCGGCCTACTGTTTCCCTCTGACGGCCATCGTGTACTCCTACTTCTACATCCTGAAGGTGGTCGTCTCGGCCGGGCGCATCCAGTCGAACAAAGACAAGGCCAAGACGGAGCAGAAGCTGGCCTTCATTGTGGCGGCCATCATCGGGCTGTGGTTCCTGGCCTGGTCTCCCTACGCCGTGGTGGCTATGATGGGGGTCTTTGGTCTGGAGAAGCACATAACGCCGCTGGGCTCCATGATCCCGGCTCTGTTCTGTAAGACGGCCGCCTGCGTGGATCCATACTTATACGCAGCTACCCATCCCCGGTTTAGGGTCGAGGTGCGGATGCTCTTCTATGGGCGCGGGATCCTCCGCCGCGTCTCCACCACCAGATCCTCCTATATGACCCGCTCGCGGTCCTCTTTCACTCACCGCCTGCGCACCACCAGCGGCGAGGGGGCGGACGGCGGGTCGGGCCGGGATCATCGCATGGAGACCTACCTGATGAACAACAATCTGATGATGGTCCCCGAGGAGACGGAGGAGAACGAAGAGATCGTCGTCGTGGCCGAGATCAATAATTCAGTGAGTAGTGCCATCGAGCAGAGTAAGTTCTGAAGGGAATTATCAGTTAATTATGTTTAAGTATATATATAGTGATTATATAGTTAAGATCTTGGTGTCCCTAACATAATTGTTTGCTTTCCTGTCTTGATAGTTTATAAGAAATATTATATTTGTTCTTATAAGTTATTTTTTATTCGGAATAATTTATTCTTTTGTATTCCTAGACTGTAGAAAATATTTAAAAGAAAATCTTGGCTTTCTCATATCATCGTTTTCGAAGCCAAATTGATTATGTTTGTGGGGGAACCCGAATTTATTGTGTTGTCTAATTGTTAACTCGAATAAAGCTACTGGAGAGGGGTGGCCATACAAATAGGATATAGAATGAACAGCTTAGGGCTGAAGGACACTCAAAGGACTTGGGGGAAAACCAAAATAATAAACAGAAATGAAGCAGGGAATTCCCTGGCCAGTGATATATAGTAAACATATAATGAGCTTACAGCACGATTGATGTGAGTGAGAGAGAGAGAAAGCAATAGACAAACAGAGAAAGAGGGGGCTAGTGAGCCGGCCTAGGTCCGAATTAGTACAAAGGATGTGTGGAGGAGTGGCAGGATCGAAAGGGCCAACGGGGTAATTCGATAGCAAACTAATAAATAATTTCAGTCAGGACAAATGATGAAGGATTAGGATTTGCATTTGGTTTGCATTGTAGCTTGGTATTGGGAAATGCCTTTATATCGAATGTTTTGCAATGGCAGCGCTTAGACAAATTAAGATCCATTCAATGTACTCTAAAGAAAAACAGAAATTATTGTACCAAATATTAAGATAAGCCAACGACTCTGATAGAGTCAACGAGTACTTGTACCTGCGAGGATAATACGAGGGAGGAGCCATCGAGTATTCCAACTAATTGTAAGTCGAAACATATAACGAATTTATACTCTTGTTGTAGATGCATCGTTTTTGTAAATGTACATACGTTTAATGTCACTCGAATCGGGGAATAATGGGACGGAGAACAATGACAGCGGCAGATGAATGAGTCTTGGCCAGCATTTTAATTACCAGAATACAAAATTTAAGCCATTGTTGGGACAAACTAATATAGACGTATACAAGTATATATATTTCCTTGGCAGCGTCGTGCAAGAACAATGGCCACTGCTGTTTGTAATTGTGCTCAAAATAAAATTGCACAAAAAACTGTTGTTAGAAAAAAAAGCAGAACAAAAATACCAGATACAAGTGGACGACGACGCCGAGGAAAGGGAAAACCCATTTAATTAGCATATTTAAGATGCACTTTGACAGAAATTCTCTGTTCGCCTGCATTGTGTGTGTTTCACTTAAGCAGCTTGTATTCCAATTAGTTTAACTCGGTAATTGTTTGTGTTATGCTAGTTTTTGTAATGCAACCCCAGCCATGCCAAATAAATGTGTGAAGTTGCAACAAATAAACGTGGATTTTCAGTCTCTATGGGTTGAGGGGATCAAGGAGGCTCTGGGAAGGCCAGACAACAGGTGCTGAGGCACATTATTGCGGAAAAGTAAGTAAAAAGTCCAGAACTCTATACATAGTTATGTTGCATGAATGGCAGTTGGTGGCACGTGACTCCGTTGCCTGCTTGGGCAGCTGATAATGCATCGAGGATGGCCCACGGAGCGTATACTTAATAAGCCATTGAAGCCGAAGGAAGCCGCATATGCATTTCCCAGTCTTTCCCAGCGCGCACCGTACGGTCCGAAGAGAGCGCAGCTGAGAGCCGGCAACAGTGCGGACCGTGGCTATATGGCCTGTTAGCGGCAGGCCAACTCCCGTCAGCTGAGAGCTTTCCCCGTATTTCGTTGTTGGGAAACAAACGACGCCGGCGCCGGCTGCCAAGACCAGAGCACAAAATTTCACACGCAGCATAACAATAATTTCAGTCGCGTTTTTCACGACCTGCCCGCGGTTGTTCCACCAAAGTTTTCCACATTATCGCCCAAAAAAATACACAAGAACAAGCCCCAAAAACGGATTTGTTTAAACAATAGTTTTGTTTATCCATAAACACATAGCAGCCGGGCGGGGAAAGTGCTATTGCTGTTCTGGGTGCGTTCGTGTCGAGTGAAGTAAGGAAAGGCGAAAAGCCGGCGCAATTTCCCTTTTCGGTTATCAATTTTCCCTGGCATCCAGCAGCATCCCAGCCCCAAAAGCCGTGTAACTCCGCATCAGGTTCGATTCGCTTTTATGTACCCATTTTGGTGGCTCGGCCTAATTGTAGATACTTCGATTTTCCGCACATTTTCCGCTTCCCGGAAAACTCAGTCTCGATTTTGTATTTGAAGGCAATTGCAATTCAATGCAATTTTGATTTAATTCGGCCAGTTTTCGTGTGTGTCTCTGTGCAAATATTGACTAAACAAACGCCAAGCAGGCCATGTTAATGCCAGCGATTTATCTCAGTGGAGGAACAGCCGCCTCAAGCAACCTCACATGCAACCTCCCACGCACACTGAAAGAAAACTATTAAATACAAGCCATACCCTAAACTGAGAGACTTTTATCTAATACCGGTAGACTCTAATAAGTCTTGTGAAAATCTTAACAAATTAATAAAACTTTTTTTTAAATTTATTTAATACTTTTCTTACAGTGATTGCATATTTAAATGCTCGTATGGGGCCGTGTCTCTGTATCCAAGTAGATACGAGCACGAGTTCGAGTGTTGCGTGCCACAAAATGCCAGTTCCCCATGCAAGCCCATCGCTAGTTCGTTTATCACCTGCGATTGCAGCGGCTATTAGGGTCGTGGGTCTCGAATTTATTCGTGAGCTTTTGCTATCCTTAACTTTTGCTATGCCCCTCGGAACCCTTACAACTTGTGGACAAAGTGTCTGGGCGTACTCCCGGCGAACACAACAACTGCCAGCCAACAAAAACAAACCAGCCTGAATGACAATTGAAAGGGACACAAATGAGCATGCAGAGAACGCCACTCGACTGCAAGACTCCCCATATCCTCTGCCTCTTCCATCCATTCCTGCCTTTCCTTCGGCTCCTTCTGTAATCCTCCTGGCTCCTTCTCCTGGCAACCCACATTCGTACATTACTCATACGACGCGTTGCCCGTGCGACAATACTTGTACAACAATGCAGCTCAAGTGACGACGCGACAACGACTGTTGACAGCTTTACCGTTACCCACACCCCAACATACAAACACACACCTAACCGAGATCGGGTTGTAATGGTTACAGCCGGAGGTGTTGTTTACCCAAAGTCTTTCAGAGAATTGTGAATTTGTGCACGCGATTTGTCCGGGGCAACTATGCCAGATAATACCCAGACTGAGTGGCAGGTGTTTGGCATTGTATGTAGTCTTATTTGTGAAAAAGGATTTAAAAGTTACAAGGATAGCAATTACATTTATATTATAAAGTTAGTCCAGAGCGGGGTTTGCCGAATAAAATCAAAATATGTATTATTTATTGATGAAACGTTAACAAAAAGCAATCAATATTTATTCAATGTCCCTTAAAATACACACATATATTAAATTTTGTTTGGCATTTTTGCTGACCCGAATGTAGATTGATTTTAATGGGAAATGAAAGTTGGCTCCTTACACTTGAGTTGCCGCCTTTGACAAATTAGGGGTCTCGCTCCATCCACCACATGCCACACGGACATACATATGTTTCTGTGACACATTTTGTGAGTCCTTTCAGGGACCTTTTCAGGAAGTCTGTCGCTTGGAGAACCCGCATATATTGTACTCCTCCTCCATCTGTAGACAATTCCACGGTAGCTGAACATAATACAGCATTCTAAGCACTTTCCCAATTTAAAATTCAAAACGTATGCTGCAATGATTCCATGCTCTTGTGCTCCGATAGCTTTCCAATATCAGGGCTCCCCATATTTTACCTCGACCCCAATTGTAGATGGTTGCCTCCAATTGGTGTTGTTTTCATTTGTTTTGTTTTGGCTGGGCCTGGATGCTTTTTATGAGTGACGCAACGAAAAAAAATTGGAAATAAAATCAACGAAAGGAGCCGTACCAGAGCGGTCGGCAATCAAAACAAATGGAAATAGTTTTTGCCGGCAGCTGCACATTGCCTGGCAATGTAATAATTAAATCGAGGAACAGGCCCGCCATGCACTTTCTACCTTCCCTTAGGCGTATCAATGTGGGTCAAAAATCTTGATCGAAATTCTCTTAGGGTTTGTTTTTTAAAATTGGGAAATCTCAGAAAATCGGAGAGGTTTTACAGAAAACATTGATAATCCAAAGCTTTAAAAGGCGTATCTCGCATTAAATTCGTAGTGGAGGGTATCCCAGCACCCCAACCATCATCATGTCCATTGTTGTCTCAATTATAGAAGGCCGACTTTCCCATTGGCAGTTGCCATACCCGAACCACACATTCCCATTCCCCATTTAGTTACCCCATTGAGGTTCTGGCTTCGTGTCCGTACTAATGACCGCTCGCGATGCTTTTTTGATTTTTTGGCAGCCACACCATCGCTTGGAATGCCCCATTCACCGTGCGTGGATCCCGTCCGGCCTTTCCTGTCCCTCCTCCGTTTCCCAGCTGTCATACATGAATTTATAATTGCATCATTTTTGGGCACACAAGTACGTAGCCGAGGATGACATTCAGTCGGTCACTCGGCTGCAGTTGCCTTTTGCAAATTTGCATGTGAATCCGCGAAAAGTGCAATGCGTCAACTGGCAGGCCTTCTCTGGTTCGATTTAAATAAAAAACACTCCAACGTGCACTGCCAAGAGTGCGGAATTCATTTCGCTCTGGCCCTCTGCTTGTTTATTTTCATAACTTGTATAACCAAACAAAAATAACAAGTTGGCCCAAAACTGAATATTGGAATATTCTTGCACACCTCCCCTGAATGGGGTAAACCTTTAAAATACCATAGAAGTATTGTATCCCGTGTCTACCATTAGGGAATTCTCTGGAAATGATGAATAAATCTTTCGAGCATACATTATAGAGCCCTCACGTGTCCTACTTCAGCTATTGATACCAGGTTCTATTGTTTACAAGATCAGAAATTTTCTTGATTTATGACCGTCTCACGTATGTAATGATCGATTCTGGAAAAGCCCCTTAATTAACATGTACATTATAAAGAGGTGCGAATAATATTCTAGCTTAATAAAAACGAGTAAACTACACATTGCTGCAAAATATAAACTATTCTAGAGGAAATTGCCGTGTTGTGTTTACTTTAATTAGTATAAGGTATTTTCATTAAAGGCAATACAAATTGAGAAACATATAAACATTTGTTATCGAGTGTTTTCGGGCTTGTCTCCGGTTTGGAATGTAAATAGGTAGCCCTTCCGAATGCGACAAAGGTTTTAATGACTTGCTAACATCTCAAACACCTTCTTAAAGCAATTAAATCTATTAATAAAAAAAATAAACATAAACTATATTCTCTTATGCAGCTTGAAACGTGATGATAAGCAAAGTGGACCATTAGGAAAGGAAATAGGAAGCACCAGCTGAGAGCTTAAAGCAATCAAAGGACATATCACTTACCAGCACAGTTTTCAACAGAAACTCCACCATGTTCGACATCACCTGGCTGCCCACGGCATGCGGCTCCTTGGCTCCGGCTCTCATTCCGCCAGCCCACATTGTCATCCTATGGTACTTCTGGGAGAACTATGCCCGCTACGTGGACCGGCACTTTTGCACCTGCTCCTGCTGGGACACCGTCTTCAAGGGCCCCTACGAGTCGGGGGTGGCCGCCTACAAGCACATGTACTTCAACGCCACGCCCAACACTTTTAAGATGTGGATGCTGACCGTCTTTGCGGTGATTGCCCTGTATGAGTGCATCAAGCGGCTAATCGCCCTGATCCTGCAGCAGCGCGTGCGGTACTCGATGCTGCTCCTCTTCCTGCTCTCCATCTTCTCCCACTACTATGCCTGGTGGGCGTACATCAACTACTACAACGATGACTACTACAATCAGTGGAACCATCAGCTCTTCTTTACGGTGAGTGCCTGGCCTGCACAGGGAGAAGATATTGGAAGTATCAGATACAATATCTTAAAAAAAGTATCTCGTAATGGTTTGACTTTTTTTCTGTGTATTTTTTAACTGGGAACTCACAACTCAAAGTCAAATATCGCTGCGACGTGCCGTCACATGTACTCCTCGGATATAATATGCACTATGTGTGGGCACCAGCCAGTTACCGGCTATCCATAATTTATTGGCAAAGTTCGTCCGGGCGAGTGCGCTCCAAACTTGCACAATATGCGCTCCAATCGAACACTTTCCCGCAAAATTTTCGCACTTGTCAGCCACCCCCACGGTCGCGAAGATAGCTTTAGTCCTGAAAATAGAACAGGGGTCGGGCTGTAAGTTTCAAGAGCAAATCCATCCATCCAGCCAAAGTAGAAACTTAAAAGTTTAGGGCCGTTAATGAGCGATTCGCCATCACCAACAATCGGTGGGAAAAATAAAAAAAGCCCGAAAGTTCGTGGCTCAAATTTATTCATAACTGACGGAGAGGGTTAGCCGTAGTTATCATGGTTTCCTTTGCCATCCATTTTGAATAAACAAAAAAATTATACCCGATATAAAACACCCCAAGCCCACGCTCTTAGTTAAATAAGATTTATTGAGAAAAAACGTTTAAAAACAGATCTAAATCACAAGAACTAAGTATTACTCGCGGATATTGCTATAGGTATCTCAGCCAATAGTTATACGATTCTTGAGCGGAGTACCTTAAACGATTTGTAGGTCAATTCTGCTTCAATCTGCATCAAAATCCTAAAGCAAATTTTCAAATAAATTTTTTGTCCATTTTTCTGAGGGGTTCCCTTTAAAAATTGTGAAAATGCATGGGGTTGGAAATATGGCCCATATCGATGGCCATATCTTGGCCAATATATATCCGATTCTTGAGCGGAATACCTTAAACGATTTGTAGATCAATTCTGCTTAAATCTGCATCAAAATCTCAAAACGGATATTCAAATCCATTTTTTGTCCATTTTTCTGAGGGTCCCCTTCGAAAATGGTGAAAACCCATAGGATTGGCAATATGGCCCATACCGATGTCCATATCTTGGCCAATATTTATCCGATTCTTGAGCGGAGTACTTTAAACGATTTGTAGATCAAAATCTTAAAACAAATTTTCAAATAAATTTTTTGGTTTTTCTTTTCTGATGGGTCCCCTTCAAAAATTCTGAAGAGGTGGCAATATGGCCCCAAACTATGGCCTTATCGTTGCGTATCGTTCTTTCTATTATGTATATCTTAATGATGTCCAATAAATACATTTTCAGGTTACGGAGCTTATCTCAACAGTTCTGGTGATGCATTTGGCCAACACAACAAACACGGTGACCCCTAAGAAAGTCTTCTGCATCGTGGGCATCGCCCTGCTGCACATCCTGGCCAGCAGCTTCGACCAGTTCTTCCTCAATGTGGTGCGCGGGGAGGGTTATGCCCACCAAATAGTGCGAGATATCGGATTCATGGTGCCGGATCTGCTGCAGCTCTTCGTTCCGGTGTGGCTCCTCCGGCAGACTCGCAGGGAAAGCTACTCGACGCGGCCGTTCTACCGGGATCGAAAACTGCACCGGGACATTGTGGCTATGTTGTGCCTGGTGTCGCTGCTATTTGTGATCTGCACGGTTTTGTGAGAAAGGATCATGCTGGACATGTACGAGGAGAGGCACGGTAAGCTGGAGCCCGTGCAGGATGCGGCGGTGCAGCTGCTGAATCGCTACCGGATGCTGGCCAACGGCAACGTGCACAATTAGGTTGGTAGCCGTCGGGTAGCATGTGGGCGGACAATAGTGGCACTTGTGTAAGTGCGGAATATCCTTGAATTCCTGTAGAATTTTGTAATTTCATTTAACGTTTGTGATAGTGCGTTCATTATTTTGTTTTCCGTGGAAGTGAGCATATCAATAAGCATTAATATCAACTAACCGAAGTACATAATCAATACTTGCAAATTGTAATCTTCCATTTAGAACCGATGTTGAGAGTCATGCAGAGGCATTAACCCATAGTTGAACTTAGGTACAATGTAGAGAAATCCAGTCCCGGGAGTAGTGCGGGGTGTAGCCCCGTCAGAAAGCCATCACACGACGATATACCCGAATCTAGATCTTAGTTATGGAACAACGACGCGAATACTTAATATTGATTATGGATTGTGGATACCCACCCAGTGTTATACTACCTTAACAAGTTACATGTGACTTAGACTGTTGTTAGATAATAACAATATTATACTCATGTACATCATGAAAAACCAACAAATATTCCAATACATCTAGTAGAGAAAATTAACAAACCGAAAAACCAAGAACCGTAGTAATCAAAATTAGCGTTATACTATATTGTTACGATTAACTTTACAAGAAGGAAATCAAAAACATACAGATATTAATATTTGGAATAGCCTATATACTTATACACATATATATATTTTAGTATACAATTATATATATATTGAATAAACTTTAAGAGACTGAATACCCAGTATTTTCCAAGGATGTGTCCCCCCAAGAACGGTGAGTCCAGTGTTAGATATTTTTTATAAGTAGTTTTCTTCCTTTATTGAAAGTTAAAAATTTAAATTTGTTTCATTGTCTCATTTTTTTTCGTAATTACATATATTTATATATATATATAGCTCTATATACCTATATACACATTCTAATGTATATTTGCAAAATTTCAAGTCAAGTTCAATATGTATTTTCCAAAAATACAAATTGCTTTTAATGCTTTTGTGTTCAAACGTAGCCCGATTCGGTTTAGCCACAAAATTATTTTCGTGATGTTCAACTTTAGAAGACATTTTAAATTAAAGTTACGGCGCGAGATTCGTACTAAAAATAATGGAATGTTCTTTATAGACTCGCTCGGTAAACAAACTGAACATAATTGGTTGCGGTTTTCAAACTCAACTTAAATTACAATTATAACTTAATTTCGCAATATAAAATATTTGAATAATAAACTAAAAATGGACGGTTTTGTGTGACTATTGAAAGATTTCAAAATTAAAATACAATAAAATGCCGACAGACAAAATAAATGGAGAATCAACTTAAAAAAAAAGAAGCCAGCTAACCAATTACAAATCCAATCCTAGCCTTCACTCCTAGCCCAGGCAGTGCGGGAATAAAGTAAACATACTTTTGCTTTGTCTGTAATAAGTTGCGTGTTTGTTTGATTTTACTTTTTGTTTTCTTAGTTTTTTTGGTGTCTGAGTTGTCGCTGTGGCGTGTCTAAGGCGATAAAAAACGATTTGTGTGCATATGCTGACGACAGGCTTAGATGAAGATCTCCTGCCGCTTTCTGACTTGATGGCCAGTGGTTGAGTGGAGGACAGCATCATCCGGATCGTCGGCCCCATCGGCGCCTTGATCCTCATGCGTCAAATAGTCACCTTTGTGTCGGTGCAAGTAGCGACCGATGAGGAAGAACATGAGAACCAGGAGCAGGAAGAGGATAACAAGAAGAACTGAAAGTATTCAAGGTTTATAAAATAGGTCTTCAAGATTTTAAGTAATTAAATAACTCACTGGCTAGCAGAACGGAATTCACTTCGTTGTAAGCCTTACGCAGCTTCTCCTCGTCCACCAGAGGTGGTGGCCTGGTCTCGATTTCGATGGGAGGATGCGTCACTGGCTCGACTCCACAAAAGTCTTCCGTTAATTGCGCTAAAAATGAGAACATTTAATAAAAAGTCTCTTTAAAAGAATCACTAATAACTTACTGCCCAACGACTTGACATTTTTCGGAGGATTCTGCTGGAACATCAGCTTTAGAGGATAGATATCATCGAACTGCACTCGCGACACACAACCCACAAAGCCATCGGTCATGGACTCGTTCTTGCCAATGTACATGTACTGAATGTTATTGAACTGAGCATCCGCTGATGCCTTGATGTCGAAATTGTACTCCACAGGCTCGTAGTTGTCCACCTTTAACACGACTGTGGACCCGCCATTCTTTCGCATAAAGTGCATGTCGTGGTACTGCCCCAAGCCAAAATGTTTCTTCGGGAAAATGATTTCCTGACGCTCAAAGCCAAAGTCAAATACACAGCGCAAGTGTCCTGGAAACAGAGCCACAACGTTTAAACACATTACGGATTAAGAATGAAATTAAAAACCCACCTGAGTTGGAAATCTGTATGGTCAGATATTCGCCAGTAAGGTTGGAAGAGAATCCCAACAGGAATCCCTTGGGAATTGTGGTGGTGAAGCCTACGCGAATGTTTTCGGCAATGGTGGAGCGGAAGGATCCCTCAAACTCGTAGCGGATAATCGAACTAGAACGCAAGTTGACACCAATCTCTGTAAAAACACACAGACTTGAGAAAATTATCATTATTAAGAAGGAGAAACAACCCACCATCGGCGCAAATGGGTCCCTTGAAGGCGCTCCAACGACAATCGCAGCTGTAACCATCGTAACGCTCAATGCAGGTGCCATTGTTGAGGCAGGGACTTGACTCGCAGCGGCCTACACATCCAGTGCTGATGCCGTAGAGACCCCGCTTGGAGTAATCCTTCAGGTCCACCATCTTTCCGTTAAGCAGCAAAGCACGAATACAGCCCACATACCCATCGCGGTATTCAGTGGTTGCGCCAATCACCAAATCTGAGGTCAGGTGGAGAGCTCGCACTGGGCCTGGCGGCTCCCGAACTTCGGCCTTGATGGATCCATCGACCACTAGACGGGCCTCCTTCCGGTTGCGCTCCACACTCACCGTGTGCCAGTTGTTGTCGTTCAGATGGTAGCTGGTGCCCACATTAACTCCCAGCGGGCCGCTTCCCGCCTGGTACTGGAACTGCAGCTGGTTGCCGCCATTCAAGCTGAGCTTTATGTAGTCCGTGGGTCCAGTGGCATGGAAGAGTACTGCATTTTCCTGAGTCGTGCGGAATTCCAGGTAAATGTCACCCGAGTGTCCCATATCGAAGGGTGGCAGGTTAATGGAGGCATCTGCAATCCTGAAAGTCACCACGTTGCTGAACAGATCATCACCCTCGCAGCGCAGGGGACCCAGGGTATAGCGTCCCATTTTCTCATCCAGTGGGGTACCCGTGTCTCCGAATTTCACTGCTCTGACCGGCAGATACTCCTTTTCCCGAATGTCGCCACCATCCTCCATCCATTCCAGACTGTTCGAATCGCAGTTGCACCACTTGGTGGGGTCATGGCACTTGCCCAGAATACCACACTCGCATTTCCTAGAGCCGGGAAGAGCACCCGCCCAATAGTCCATGGGCTGGTTGTTTCGTGAGATCCACCACGAGAAGGGGCGGAAGTTGCCAGCCTCGGCTATAGAGAATAGGTATTTTAATTTCTATAGAATTCAAGACTATATAGTGAGAACTTACAGGGTGAGTTGAAGAGTCGGGAGGAGCGGCAGGAGTAGCTCAATCGCTGCCAGCAGCTCTGGGAGCGATTCAGCAGGGCTTCGATTTGAAGTTGGTTGGCATCGTACATGATGGACTGCTCAAAGGAGCCCGGCTCGGAGAAGCCATTGACGGTGGTGGTGTGCTCCTGGCTGTGGCTTAAGGTCGTGATGACTCTTCCGTCGGCTAAACAAAGGAATCCATCAATTACTGACTGACTTATCGAAGAATAGAAGACAATACTTACAATAGAACTCGCAAGTAACTGGGAAAGGCTCCAGAGGACCACTGCCATCCACATCGATGTTCAGATTGACACGCTGCTGCACATGCTGGACATTCTTGAGGGCCTGGCAAGACAGTGGGTTGTTGGCTAACGAAAATGATAATCATGAGAATCAAAACACCTTTTCAATACCCCTAGACATCACTCACAAGTATGACAAACAGCGCCGGCATAGCCTGTGTGGGCACAGTCGCAGAAGAACTCCATGGAGTTCTGGTGGCAGACGCCCTTGTGCTGGCAGGGATTGGGGTTGCAGCGATCAATCATCTGGCAGGCATCCACCACCACCTCATCGCCGCAACAAACCTCCTGGCCCTGCACCCAATCCTGAGGCAGCTTGTAGTTTCCATCCACCGAAATCAGACGCATGCAGCCCACAAATCCGTACTTGTCCTTTCCGCCGGCTATGTAGTATTGTGCTCCTGTGGCGATCTGCAGATTCTTGGTCGTGGTCATCGGGCGCTGGTCGATATTCAAGACCAAGCGGTTCCTTTCGATGGACACAATAAAAGAGTGCCACTTGCCGTCGTTAAAGGCCTCATCGTAGTTGTCCAGTATGATTCGCGGTCTGTCCTTCGCCTTGAGGTCGATCTTGACCTTGCCATACTCGAGGAACACCTTGATGTAGCCCCCGGAGTAGAAGTCGTGGTGCAGCATCACTCCCTTCTCCTCGTATGTCCGGAAGAAGAAAGACACATTCAGGCGCTGCGAGTTCTCGTAGCCCTTCAGGCGCACAAAGGAGCCTCGGGTGGTGAAGGTAACCGGATAAATGGGCGGCGACGGGCACGCATAGATGGTGTTCACCTTCTCGAAGAGATAGGCCTCGCCTAGCTCATAGCTGTCCTTCATGGAGCGAATAAAGTTGGTGGAATTGAAGTAAATGTTCTCCAGGCAACCCGAGAAGTTCTGCTGGACGATCAAGCCCTCCTGGACGTTGGGCACTCCACCGAGGTACAACTCCCGATTCAGGTTCAGTCGGCTAAACTCGCCCTTGATCTTTTCTCGCACTATAACTCGATCTACCGAGAAGATGATGTCGCGCTGGTTCCTTGAAATGACCACGTCGTGCCACACATTGTCGTCCAACAAACTGCCAACGGACAGGGAAGTCATGATCTTGGATCCCAAGTTGAGATTCAACACCATCTTGTTGTCCTTCAGCTGCAGGGCGTAGTAGTCTCCTTGGGTGCCGCGGGAGTACATCATCACGCCGTTGGCGAAGGCGGTCTTGAAGCGGAACCGGATGGACTCCTTCAGGGAGGCGATGGGCTCTCGCAGTTTGTAGCGCACAAGGCCAGTGCCGTTGAAGTAGAGGTTCTCCGAAACTGCAGGGATTATAGAAGATTATTGATATATTCCTTAAAAAGTAAGACCATTAGGAAACTCACTATATTCACAGCCGTAGAGCTCCACTCGCATGGAGATGCGATCGTGCCAGCGGGTGGGATTGATTCTCACCCACTGGGCAATGATGGGAACCTCAAAGACATTGTAGTGGATCGAGTTGCCGTCGGAGTTACCCTTGAACATCTGCCATAAGAAGGTTAAGTACATTATTAGAATCTTATCGAATTAAATGAAAACTTTGTGCTAAGAAGGCCCAACCCTTGTCCAGGAGCCACCACATTAAAATTAGTCATGTGTTTTTTAACTTCTAGGTTAGAGATTAGTCACAGTACCTGCGGCTCACTCGTGGGATTCACGTACGAGCGCCAGAATTCACCATCATCCGAATACTGAACGATATACTCCGTCACGAACTCATCCGTGTGCATGCGTCCCATGGTGGCGATCTTGCGCACCATCCGCGGATCCCCCAGGTCGAGTGTTAGAAAGTGGTTATACGTATTCTCGACCGGTGTCCAAGCAGCGTTACCTGCACAAGGTGCACAGTTACCAAATAATGTTAGTGGCCGTTCAGAGTGAAGGGATAGGAGGCAGAGGAGTGTGTGTGTTTATTATGTACAGGATTATGGAACTAGTAACCATGCGGGATAGGATAAAGCAAGGAAATCATAATACTACAAAAGCAAGCAAACATTAATATGAGTTACGATAATCCGATTTTACAAATGGATCATTTTTCCAGCCACCAAGTACCAACCACCTCGATTGAGATCGACATTGTTTACCTTGACATTGCCGCCCGGCTCTTTGTAGTCGGCAAACTCCAGATCGGTTATGCCGTAGCTAATGGAGTACTCGGTGACGTACTCATTGCTATGAGGTCGTCCTTGCAGGGCGATGTGCGTCACGTTGCGCACCACGCCCAGGTCAATAATCAGACGCTGATCAAAGTCCGAGTTCTTGGCCGACCACGAGGTGCCAGCTGGGGTTCGCAAATGGGATTTGGCATGGGCATTGGATGATGGGCAATAAAATAAAAACAATACATTTAAAACAGAAAACAAAAACAAAACAAAAGGTACTTAAAAGTAACACATAATACAAATCGGGTCGGGTCTGGAGAGGGGGCTTATCCTATTAAGAGACCTATGTGGAGTAGTTTAAAATTGCCGAAAAATTGCCAAAAAGGGGGTGTTTCCAATTAATAAACCATAATTTAGGGGCGATTGCGATTGACAGATGCAAGTGGTCGGCTTGAAATCGGGGTTGAAACCAGATCCCAGACGGGCCGGAAAAAGGATTCTGTAAATCCCGAGGGTTGGAGTTGGTGTCAACATAAAATGGGAGAGTCGTTCTTCGGGCATAAACAATCGCAAACGCCGTCCTTTTGTTTTAATGGCCCGGCCGCGCCAAATCGCAAGCAGGTGTGACGAAACAGTGTGAGAACCTCCATTTGGGCATATGGGAAATCCAGATCCTTAAGTTCCCGCTCCCTGTCGCATTGAAGCTTCCTTTGTCCCGCCGTTGGCAACGCTATCGCCGCCGTCATCGATAAAACTTTCGGGAATGCCAAAAATAAATCAAATAAAACCCAAAGGAGTAAGCTACCCCGATGTCTGGCCCCTGTCTGAGTCCCATTACGGACGGTTCCTACTCCTAATAAATGTGGGTTTATGGCCCTTTTAAGCATATTTCCGGCTTCGCTCCGTCGAGTTTGTTTATCCAGTGCCAGGCAAACAAGCTATTTTTTTTTTCGGGGGTGCGGGCCGCATGACAACACGCGGGGATTACAATTAATTCGATTTTTTTGGAAAAAATATAAATGCATGTTTATTCTAGGGATAACAACTCCATTTCAGGATACTTTTTTGTAGGGCTTGAGCAAGGCCTTTTGGCAGTAGGCCACCACATCCTCCGATTTCGATTGATCGCTCTCCACCAGCAGCTGTTCTATGGGCAGCAGTTGGAATCTAGCATGCTCCAGGGGTAGGCAGTTGCGAAATGCTATGGCGGCACAATAATCCTCCTTCAGCAAATGCTCCTCAAAGTGCCAGTTGTCCATGGGTTGGTCCTGGCAGCGCAGGGTAGTGCCTGTAAGGGGCGACACCTCTTCCGCCAGACTATGGGTGGTGTCCACCGAAAAGCTGATCTTCTGCAGGTCCACCGTGATGCCCACTCCCAGCTCCTTGACATAGGCCTCCTTCAGGCACCAGTGCCGCATGAAGGCCTTGACCTGGGCCCTCTCATTGTGCTGAGGTCGTCCAATGTAGCTCCATTCGTGGGGCGAGAACTTGTTCCTCATTAAGCGGAAGAACTCGGACAGGGACTTGCCGCCACTGTACTCGATCTTCATCACATCCGCACCGATGCCAAAGTCGAGCTCAGCAGAATCCCCGCAGATGCCGGCCAGAAGCACAAGATCACCTTGGTGAGACACATTGAAACTGAGGGGTGGTCGCTGCTGGTTCCCCTCCTCCTGCACCCAATAGGGTTTTCCCCTCACGTCCCTGCCAAACTGGACCTGGTGGGGTGGCAGGCCGCTGCACGTGCTGACATATTTTCGCATCAAAAGGCGGCCAATTAGGGAGGACAGAAAGTCATCAATGAAGTGAAACTTCATAAGACGAGTGCGCTCCTCCGCTTGAATCGAGGCCACTGCCTGGGCCAGCTGGGGCAGAGTGGGCGACCAGCTGGTCAGGTCGAAGGCCCAGCGAGTGCAGATGTGTTTGTTCATGTTCCGGCTAGCTAATTGCCTTAATTGCCTTTACAATCATGGCTTAGGGCGTTTTCGATTCGTTGTTTTTTTCTTCCAAACCCCTGATGCTTCTTCTTGCCAGTGACAGTATGGCCAAAGTGCACAGTAAAAAATGTACTTGATTTGGGTGGGCTTTTTTTAAAAATACTGTAATAATACTAGTATGGGGAGCGGGAGCTTTTTTAATTTTTAAAAAAATATTACAAAAATAAGCTTTATTTTCTACATCAAATCAAAACTAATGGCATTCTTTATTAAGCTATAAAAAATATATATATTCAAAGATATACAAAAGCTGTAATTTAAAAAGAAATGAAATAAAACAACTAAAAGGGGATTTACTAACTATAAATATAAATTCTAAGAAAATATCATTAAAGATTTCTTAATTAAAAAACCAACTCACCATTTAATCTAGCTTTTTCGGGTTCTCTGTCCGACAGGGAAGACGTTGCTGTGAGGACGGCTCTTTCCATTAGGGGCTGGTTGCATTCGTAGTCGGAAAAATAGTCCGCGAAACCATCTGAAAAAAATATCCAAAATAAATCTATGAATATATGCAGGAATGTGTTTACAACAAAACCAGCCATGACCCATATACACATTGTATTTGGGGGGAAAATTGAATGCAAACTGTCACTGAAATAATTAAAATTGAGAGATAAAGAATATGCTTGGACGGCGGCCAACAGATTTAAGTACATCACTTGGGCCATAATGGTTCCAGTGGCCGCTTTTTATGGAGGCCATAAATAAAGCCACATCAATGGGTAATAAATAAACAAACATGGTCCAGATTGAAGGGTAAATAATAGCCGTATAGGAGGAATTTCTCATGAAAAGGCATCTTTCATATTGCACTTGCCAGCCTGGGGCAGTGCAGATGGGTATCTCTCATTTGCACCATAATATTGTGTGGCAACAAGAGTGCTCCTGGCCGCCCCCAGGATCCAGGATCCATGACAAACAGCGTACGGAAGTGGGGGCAAGGCAGGCAGGTCGCGTCGGAAATCCAGACAATTGCCCCTGTCTGTTGCAACCCCCAAGCAAATGTTTGTAATGGGTGCAGCCAGACCAGGAGCTCCTAGGCAAGCAGCACACTAGGACAGGACAGGGCGGGGGGGAGCAAGGAAACAACCCTTGCGAGGTCATCCAGAGTTCGTGTACACTTTAAGCTGACTTTGAGCCTTCGAGGGACTGGCACTTTGGAGTCGGAATGAACCTGATAAGCTATGCCCTAAGAAACGAAGCAAAACACGCATGACAATCTGCTGCTGGTAAATAATCAATATGGGAGCAGCAAGTTGAACTACTTTTCCACTTTTCATCCGCTTTCCACGATTCTTACATAAAATCGCCCCATAAAAATAAAAATCTGGCTAATCTTCGCAATGACGAGGCTCGGACGGCAATTTCCGCTAATTCAAAATTGCGATAGAACCCAAGAAGCACTGGAAATAAATTACCAAGTCGGAGGATATACACACATACGTCTTCCTGTCTGATTTCGCGGCAATGGCAGGCGTGAAAGTGGCAAATTGGTACTGAGGCATTGTTTATTTTTAGTCATAAAAATGTTTGCATGATGATTTTTGGATTGTTTATTTTGGAAACACTATTTGAAGCGAAAAATCTGGGGAATGGAGAGTGGGGTGGGGGCAATTGGGTTATCAAGATAGCTGTTGACATATGGAAGGCTAATTCAGGGAGGGGGAGGGACAGGCCGCACCGGCCTGGAAACACGTGTTTCGGCAGCATCATAAGATGCTTTTCGTCGCATGCGCAGAGCAAAAGCCGGAACATGCAGATGCAGGGATGCCCGGCCGCCGGTAAATGACTCCCATGAGATGGTCCGATAAACAAAGTTAACCATAAGGAACTTCAAGTTTGGAACCCCAAAGTATAACGAGATACAAACGGGCGTTGGTAGTTTTCAGTTTTGTTTTGCCACCGTCGTTCGTAAGCAACGGTGCGATCGCTCTCCCGCTCTCACGATCGGAAAGAGCGAGTTAGAAAAGCGAAGCACAGAGCAAAGAAAATGGAGATGACGAAGAGCGAGTCCCCAGCTTGGGGAACACGCCCAAATTTTGGCTTACAAACAATCGACGTTTTATGTCATATTTTCTCAATGAAATTCGGGAATTTTCAGACAAGAACCTTTAAGTTATCCAACATTTACCTGCTTGCACAATCTGAATGCCACTATTGGCCAGCAATAGGAGGCTAAGTAGTCCTAACTGGATCGAAGCCATCGTTCTGGGCGGCCTCATCTTGGTGGGTTGGTTGTTTTTTTTATTTCGTAGAACTGATTTATAAACACATTTATACACGATTTCGGGAAAATGTTTCACACCGCTGGCAAATACACTTTTCTGGTCGGAAAACTGCTGCCTCTGGAAAAGCTGGCTGGAAACTTGTGCCAACGCATACGCGGCGGGCGCTGTTGTTTGTGGCAGCCAAGCTGACTGCACTTGCACCTTCTTATTTCAGAGCTCCTGTTGCACTTGCTCCTCCAGCTCACGCCCACCTCGGTTGAATCCGTTCGAATTAAAAATAATTAACGGATGACACACGCACACGTCCGACTCGCTGCTTGGTTTTGTTTTGGTAAGGCTGTGTATTCTTTTTCCTAAAATACCATGTATCGATAAGTTTTTTTGAAAAAGATATTTTAATCCGATAAAAATACCACATTTAAAAAGTTTTTTTAAAAATTAATACTCATCAATTTTAAATATATTTGTTACAAAATCTTTTAAATTAACTTCTAAATTCTTAAAGTCAGTAGGCTTTAAAATATACCAAATTAGATGTAAGCATTTCGATAAAAATCAAGTACTATCGATAACCTGCCACCGTTTTCCCTTCTTTTCGCCAAAAATTTGTGACCGTGTTGTCAATTTTTCAGCGTTTTGATAGGCCTGGCATTTTGTTTAGAACAGCAAGGGATAAAACTTCGAAAATGTACGGCGGAGACGACTACGGAAACAATGCGGTAAGAGCACCGGTCCGGAAAGGCCTCCAAACAACCTAGGCGCAGCCTGCCGCCGACAACATAACCCAACTTTTTAGGGCCCCACATAGTAATAGTAACTCATTGAATTCTTTCGGTTTACAGGAGTACTACGATGAGTACGCGCACACTGGGGACCCGCAGCTGGACATGGAGTACGAGCGTAACTACTACGCCAGCCGGATGCCGGAGAACGTCAAGTACTTCTTGATCAACTTCTGCCAGGCGATCAAGGAGGGAAACCTGTACGACATCCAGAACATGTACGAGAACACGTTCCCGCAGATTAGCGACCACCACTTCGACAAGACGGCATGGCCCGATGAGCAGGAGGTGGGACCCATTGTGGACAACGACAAGGTCTTCCTGATCCTGTACAAGGAGCTGTACTACCGTCACATCCATGCCCGCATTCCTGGCGGACCCAAGCTGGATCAGCGCATCAACTCGTTCTTCAACTACTGCGACTTCTTCAACCTGATCATCTCGGCCCAGAACCCAGTGATGCTCGAGCTGCCCGACATCTGGCTGTGGGAGTTGGTGGATGAGTTTGTCTACCAGTTCCAGAACTTTGCCCAATACCGGTAGGTACTTTTGACAATTCTATGGAGGTTATCTATATAACTTCAATGCAATCTTCAGCGCCCGCTTGACTGACAAGTCTCAGGATGAGATCCAACAGTTGTGCGTGAACCACAGCAACGTGTGGAGCATTCTCTGCATCTTGAACGTGCTCCACTCCCTGGTGGACATTTCCAACATTAAGAAGCAGCTGGAGGCCATCTCCCAGGGTGCCGATCCCCAGACCGTCGCTGGGGACTTTGGTAAGCTCTCGTTCTACAAGATGCTGGGATATTTCTCGCTTGTGGGACTGCTGCGCGTGCACTCCCTGCTTGGAGACTACTACCAGGCCATCAAGGTGCTGGAGCCCATTGAGATCCACAAGAAATCGGCCTACTCGCACATCCCCGCCTGCCAGATCTCCACGTCCTACTACGTGGGCTTCGCCTACATGATGATGCGCCGCTATGCCGATGCCATCCGCACCTTCTCGGACATCCTGCTGTACATTCAGCGCACTAAGCAGCTGTACAGCACTCGCTCCTACCAGAACGACCAGATCAACAAGCAGGCGGAGCAGATGTACCACCTGTTGGCCATATGTCTGGTGTTGCATCCTCAGTGCATCGACGAGTCCATCCAGCAGGTGCTGCGAGAGAAGAACTACCATGATGCCATGTTCAAGATGCAGTGCGGTGATTTGGATGTCTTCAAGTCCTTCTTTGTCTTTGCCTGCCCCCGATTCGTGAGCCCATGCCCGCCAGCCGCCGATGCTCCCATGGAGGACTACGTCAAGGACCCCATGGAGCACCAGCTGATGGTGTTCATGGACGAAGTGCGCCAGCAAAAGGATTTGCCCACCACGCGTTCATATCTGAAGCTGTACACCACCCTGCCGCTGGCCAAGCTGGCCTCCTTTATCGATCCCAACGCCAGCGAGGATGATGTGTCCAAGCTGTTGATCCGCCTGCTCTGCTTCAAGCACAAGATGCGCAACCTGGTGTGGAGCAAGGGTCCCAGTGGTCTGGAAGGCGCCTTTAAATCGGGATCTGAGGTGAGTTATATCTTTTGGATTTCAAAGAACTACATGACTAATTCTGATCTTCATCCAGCTGGACTTTTACATCGACGATGACATGATTCACATTGCTGACACCAAGGTATCGCACCGGTATGGCGACTTCTTTGTACGTAAGATCCTCAAGTTCAACGATCTGAACCGAAAGCTGAAGAAAATCAACATTTAAGCCGACTACTTGTGACCCTTTAAGATCTATTTAATATTCCAATCCGGACCGATGTTTATGTCAATAAAATACTCTGCGCCGACTATGCGCAGGTATGGTCCACAAGATCTTTGATTTGTTTCACTCGATAGTATCCTCCTTGTGGTTTTAACATTTGACTTTATTTTTAACAATACCATTATAATATAAAAATCGTTTGTATGACTATAAGGAAATTCAAAACTCTACACAATATACGATTTTCGAGATTGCCGCAACTCCACATCCATGTGACAGCAGGTGCAACCAGGACTCCTCACCAGGTTTCTCCAGGGGAATGTGCGTTGATCGTTTTACATAATACATAATAACATCTCTCTCTTTTCGAATTTTTCTCGCCCTGTGGGGGTGGGGGACGAGCAAATTTCTTTGGTAGTTTAATAATCATGGTATGGTTATATGGAGAGCGTGGAGTTGGGCGCCACAAGCAGTTCTCACACTGACACGCACACACATTTTAAAATTCAACTTAAAGAATACTTTTTATACACGAAACTGCAACTGCATTTGCTTTTGCGCTAGTATCTGGTTTTGTGTGCTCTTCGTGGACTAAATCCACCAGTTGGTATATAGGACTTAGGCTTAGGACTAACATTAAAATCAAACAATTTACAATTATGTTACGGACTTCTTGTTGTGGGTGGTGGGCCGACGATGGCCAGTCGCTAGTCGAGGCTCACCGTGCGCTGATTGACGTCGATCAAGTAGATGTCCTTGTGGTTCTGGAGCACAAAGTCGACAAAGGCATTGATCGGAGCTATCTCCTCCAGGGAGGTGCTGGTGCTGCGCGACCACAGGAAATTCGGACCGAACACGATGGCCAGATTGGAGGAGGTCATCTTGTTGAGATCCTCGCAGTCCATCACGCGCACCAGAAACTCGACAAGGTACTTGAACAGCTCATAGTTCTCCTCGGGCAGTTTTTCGCGTATCAGCTGGGTGACGTTCCTCGAGCGCTCCTCCTTGGGCCACTCCAGGAACCGAGTAACATCGTCGTAAAGCTCAAAGGTGAGCAGCGGCTCGGCGAGATCGCGCAGGAAACTCTTCAGCAGGCCGGCAATCACATGAACATTTACGCTCTTCAGATCCACATCCTCCCCCCGATTGACTCGCTCCTTGAGCGTCATAATCTCAGCATGGTTACCGGAACGCCGGAATATTCCCTCCGTGTCGATCACGCCCGTAATCGAGAGCGAGTCCACGCACTTGCGCACAATCGGCGGAATGGAGTTCAGGCACGGGCTGTTCATCACAATGAACTTCAGGGGGACTCCAAATTGCTGCGTCGTCGCCATTTTGTGCTGCTGCTGCCGGGATGCATTTATGCTGGGTGGCGGCGTCGATGACTTTCGGCTGGGGTTCAGCTTGTCGTCCAAGTCGCAGATATTGTCCGGCAGCTTCAGACTATTGAGGCCGAGTGCCTGGCGCAGCTCGTCCAGACACGAGATGTACACCAGCTTCTTGCGGAACTTGTCGCTGATGAACGGACTGAAGAAGTTCCAGATGACCCGGATGAACCACGTCGGATGCACCACATACAGAGTCTTTAGGTTCTTGCGAAAGTTGCGATCGAGCTCCTTGTACGAGTTCCACAGGAACTGGGCCGACGGTTTGTTGTCCTCCTTCAGTCCTTGGTGGAAATATACGAGGATGTAGTCGTTCTCCACAAATGGTTCAATCTCTTTAATGATCTCTCTATGAAATGTGGAATATTTAAAGGTTATAAAGCTGATCCCTATTGAAGTTTAGGAGCTCACCGAACGAAAGCATCTAGCTGGGACTTTTCGGGGAAACGAGATGCATAAATGGCGAATATGTGCCGGCCCTGCTTGTCGGTGCCGAGGAAATCGCATTTGGTTTTGGCCGCCTGGAAGTTTCCCGACTGCTCCCTGAGTTGGTCCTCGAAGTCGTCCTCCAGCGGATTCACATCCTCCTCGGGCTCTAGTTCTGGATCTGCACGAATCGGTAAACGTATTGCATTGTCTAACAGGAGGAGAGCAGCCTACTTACCATCGGCCAGGACAAAGTCACCGACCATAACATCTTCTAGGTAAAAATTAGAGTATCAGTTAGCACTTGAACTTGTTCAAATTTCTATTTAAGGGGGATCTTTGGTAATAGAACTTACTTTCCAGGGGTGAGGGCGCCAGAAGTTCAGTATCGTCGAACTCTAGTTTGGGCTCAAAGTCGTGCAAGTCCGAGAGACTGGGCTGCGGCTCGTCCGAGTTCTCGACCAAAGGATTAATGGCAGGACCTTGGGGTGCGAGAGGGAAGGCATTTATGAATCTGGTAGGTTTGCCCAGTCGCGGACAGATATTCCAAGAATGGTAATCTTACAAGTAATGCTTTCAGTTAAGTATTTTGACGGCCTGAGGCAACAAGTTTAGTTCGGATTGAGTTTTGAGTAAGTGAATAGACATGAATTAGAGAAATTTTTGAGAAATTGGATGAGTACGTCGTTGGCATCAGATCTTCGCATCAAAGAATCAAAGAAATCTTACTGTTTCGATATTATTGTCAGAAGACAACAACAACTGAACAACAACTGAAGAGACAAAGAGACAAATAAAGGAGCTCTAAGCTAGGATTAAGGTTTTTAAGGCAATACACAGGTAACAACACAGGTAAAACCCCAAGACAAACATTGGCAACAACACAGCTAGCGATAGATAACACAGGATCCACAACACAACCAAGCAAACAAGTTGGATAGTTAAATTATGCAAGAGTATGTATTTACAGGGGGAGGTGAGGTGGCCTCTTATATATAGTAGGCTGGGTTTTAGTTATAATTTTAAAATGCGGTTAGTAGGGCGGGTTATGCAGGGCGGGGGGGTTGTAATTGCTGGCTATTACTTGCTGGTTAGTTCTCCAACGAGGGCACTGCTCACCCTCGCCTCCAAAAGCTACGATACGGTAATGAAAACAAAACAAGCGGCGCAACGAAATGACTCCCAAACTTAAAACAGAGATTAGAGGCACTTTAGATTAGAGGGGTAATTACAAAATAAAACATATTTCATGGGAAACTATTATTCTTGCCATTAAAAGAAATATTAAAAAGAAACTTAAAGCCCTCTCAAGTTACAATTTTGAAAAGAAGAAAGGGCTCAGATGGCTCCAGTCTACCTCGGCAGCATAGTCAACGCTTGGGAATTCTTTCGCAGCACCCAACATGGCAATCTTGCACTCAAAATGCTAAGCAGTTACAAAAACCAAAGATCAAAACTATTTTTTATAGAAAAGCATGACTTGGCCGAGCGGCCGGCGCGGACTTACCTGGCAATCTCGATCCGAAACGCGAATGGGTGTCCATATCCGCTCCGGGTGGATGATTGGGTGGGATCGATTAGGTTGCTGGTGCTGAGCAGGTGCCGTGGGTCCGATGTGATTGGAATTCTCGCTCCGAAGCAGGAGGTGACCGTGTCTGTGTGTTTGTTGGGCTGAAATGCGAGAATAAATTAGCCATAAGCAGCGATTTGAGTACTCAACCGATGACGTCACGGCAAAGCTAGTTTTCTTGAATGTCGCGCGCCGTCGCCGTGAGTTGGTGGTATATGCTTAAGGTCTGGTGCGGGGGGGCATGGTACTGGTTATAGGATTGTTCCTGTCACTGCCGTGTGCACGCTGATTCACATTCATTCACATTTGACGCGACCCTCGAACGTCAATGGATTTGGACTTGTATTTGGCTTAGAGTTTACGGCCAAGAGCTTGAAACTTGGCCCTGGAAGACGCCCACGCCCACGCCCATGCCCATGCCTTCACCTTGCCGTGGTACATACACAAAGTGGAGGCACGACAACAAGAAACATACACGATAACAACGCAGAATGGTATGGAAATGTTTTCTTATCGCAAATTCACGACAAAACAGATGAACTTGTATGTGATTTATTAATAGATGACATCCATCTCCTGGAACTTGGCTTCTGCTTGTCCCGCGACTGTGGGTACATACATACACACCCCCAGGAGTTGCCAAAAACATTTAACTCTTAGACCATCATAATCTCCAGTACATACTTCCGAACGGACAATGTATTGACAACAAACTGCGCATTTGTGTTTCCTCCGTCACTTAATGATATTTACTTTTTTTTTTTGTAAGTATTGTGTACTTTTATCAGCAACTAAACAGGGCGAGGGGGGCGCTTTGCGAAAAAAACATGACGTTTTGCGATAGGCAATTAGTGAATGATTTTACATTGATTGTCTCGCATTAGAGTGAATCCCGAACTTTGCTTGTGAGTCAGAATTAAACAGGAAAATACCTTTTATCAGTTGGAAAAAAAAAATCTTCGGTAATTTTACTACAAGACGTTGTTTTTGTGAATGAGCAGTGATGGAAAACGATGGCCGCCCGTCAAGTGCTGCAAAAAAGCACAGAGCGTCATAAATATTGGCACAAGCTTTTACGTGTCACGACTAAGTTTGATGTTTAATTTTTATTTTTAAGTAATTTTAAATTTTCAAATTTTCTAAAAAGATAAATTTTTTTAAAGCTTTAAATTAATTTTTATAACGGCGAAAATATTAAAAATTTTTATAGACTTTAATAAAAATTATTTTCCCATCACTATTATTATCGATATACAAAACAAGACCCGAACAAGTGGGACCGTTTGCGTCCTATTCACAACTTTGGCACGACCAGCTCCAAAATATTTTAGAATTTCTTAAATTTACCTAAAAATGGTCGGTTGGAGCCGTATGCTGTCGCCGGCGGCATCGTTCGCGAAGTACCGCGCCGTGCTGCAGACACCTGCCTGCCGAAATGGTAAATACCGCTTGGGGAAAACACACTTCACATTACGCAACCAACCAATCTCCGTCTTCTAGCCCTGCAGCAGCAGATGCGCCGGATGGGTGGCGATCATGGACACCACCACATGACCATCAAGCCCTCTCGCTTCCAGTGGGACAAGTTCAAGGATCTGATGCACTTTTACGTAATGCTCGGAGTGGTGCCAGTGACTGCACTGGTGCTGTATTCGAATATCTTTGTGGGTCCGGCGCAGCTGGCGGAGATTCCCGAGGGCTACGTGCCCAAGCACTGGGAATATGAGAGGGTATGATCGTATTGTAGTTGGCCGAAAGTAGTTCTTTCCTAACGGTTGTGTCTTTATAGCACCCTATCTCCCGCTTTATTTCCCGCTATATCCTAAACTCGCAACAACAGAACTACGAGAAGTCTCTGCACTACCTCTTCGAGGAGAACGAGAAGGCACAGATTCGGTAAATTGAAAGGAAATATTTAATTCCATCCCGTTCTTAATCATAACTACGCCGTTACAGACTCCTGGAGGACGAAGTGCGTCGCAAGATGTCAGAGCGCAACGATTACCAGGCCTACTACTACAGACCCTCGGTGGCCAAGTATCACAGAGTATCCAAAGAGGCTGCCGACGAGCTGGAGGCTCTGCGCGGAGACTAGAACCCTTGTAATATTCAGTTTTTGTTAGGCGGAAATAAATGTGGATTTGAATTCGCAACATCAGCTGATTATTCACCTTAACTAATATACAATTTACACAGTAGTCGAATAAATACTTAAGTTTTAGCCAAGTCAAGAGTGCGTATCGATTTAGCCCCACGCCTGATTCTTGCAGTAGTAGAGCACCAGTTTCCCATTGGTGCCATGGCACTCGTACAGGTTCTTGATTATCTGATCCGGAGCGGGGGCGAAAGTCTGGTTAACGTACAGAAACTGAAACATATAGAAAAGAATATAATAATCAAATGCTAAGTTGGTAGGAGGATCTTACAATCTGCTCGTTGGCGTCCAGTTTGAGGTACTTGTGGATAAACTTTTGGATCCAGCTAACAGTCTTGTTGGGGTCCACGGTCCAGGTGCGCTTCTTGATGATCGGTACATTGCCGGTGGCGTTCAACAGGACACAAACTGAGTGAATCAGCACGAGACAGGTGATTGCAAATAAAAACAAAATGAGTATACGGTTGAGAGGAGGTGGATTTTGGTCTTACTCTTATCCTTGTCCTTGTCGGGCGTGGATGTTGTCAGGGCTGCCTGAGGTTCCGGGGTGTCTGCCATGACTTGGGAATGTATTTAAAATGCTTTAAGTTCAGACAATGGTTCTGAAAATTGCCAATTTGTAAATAAAGAATATAAACGATGGTACAACTGCAACGTAACTATCGATAACTTCCCAGATATTGGAGGTGGAACATTATTTCAGATATTTTTCAAATTTAAAAAATAAACACTTGGTAAAAAATGATTCTTTTATTATCTACTAGCAGTTTTAAGTAATAATCATCCAATAAAATGTAAATTTGTTTTTTGAAATTTCCTACTTTTAGATGTATTTCCCCCCTTATACTCTTGCACATATCTAGCTCTTGTATTGTTCGCTAACACGTGTGGTAGGTGGTAGTTTATAAACTTCAAAGAAACAGCCTGAATTATGAGCAATAAACTATTCGATGGGTCAGACGACGATGGAGATGACCTGCAGATAACCACCAACAAGGACTACGCCAAGACCTACAACAATTTGCGGAAGAAGGAGCTGTTGCAGAAATGTAAATAGAAGAGGATTCCTCCAAATGAACTATTTTAACGTTTATTCCCATGTTTTAGATAAGGACCGTGGCTTGGATGTGTCGGAATCCGAATTCGATAGCGACAGCTCATCGTCTGAAGAGGATGAGGTGGACCCCAGATTCGATCAGGACTTCTTTAAGACACTATCTTCCCTGAAAAGTAAAGACCCGCGAATCTATGACAAGGGCACGCGGTTTTTTAATGAATCCTCCAGCGATGATGAGGAGAACGAAGGAGAGTCCAAGCAGAAGAAGAACAAAAAACTCAAGCCCGTCACTCTAAAAGACTACGAACGAAAGGTTATCCTCGAGCACAATGGAAAGTTTGAAAGCTCGGACGAGGAGCACCAGGAGAAGGAGGAGGAGGAATACCAGCGGGCACAGTCCCCCACCGCCGTGGAGGAGGAACGTCGATTGAAAGCCGAATTCAGAAATGTGATGAACCAGGAGGACGATGGCGAGGATGAGGAATTCGGGGGCATTTTCAAGAAACGAAGCAAAACCAAGGAACAGACTGATGCGGAGGAGGCGGACTTTGCCAAGTGGCTGGCTGGCCAGCAGGACGATATCCAGGCAACGGACAAGGAACAGCTGGAACCACTGAAGCAGTACTGGAGCAGCAACAAGTTAACTCAGGGCGAGAGCTTCCTCAGAGACTATATCCTCAACAAGGGCTATGCCAACACAGATGCTTCCGCCATTCCCACTTACGATGAGATCGTGGGAGACAATGCTCCTCTGTCCGAGGACGAACAAGAACTAGAGAAACAGGCGGAGTTTGAGCAAAAGTATAACTTCCGATATGAAGAACCCGATGCGGAGTTCATTAAACGTTATCCCCGAACAATAGAGCAGTCGGTTCGACGCACGGACGACAAGAGGAAAGAAAAGCGCAAGGAGTTGAAGGAGCGCAAGGAGCAGGAGAAGCAACAAAAGATGAAGGAACTGGATCTTATCAAGGAGATGAAGCGCAAGGAGATCGAAGAGAAGATTCGGAAGCTAAAAGCGGTCACCGGCAATGATGAGTTGGGATTCCGAGACGACGAGCTGGAGGAGGACTTTGATCCAGCTGCCCATGATCGTCGTATGCAGGAATTGTTCAACGACGAGTACTATAATGTGGACGAGGGCGAAGAGAAGCCAGAGTGCCCCTCGGATATTGATGAGCTGGCTTTAGAGGACTGGGACAACTATGATCCCAGCAAGCACAAGGACGGCCAGGGGGACGATGACTACGATGGTCACTGCGAAGATGATGACTTTAATATGGACTGTGACTATGATCCAGTTGCCGCCAAGCAGCAGTTGCAGCAGGAGCTCATTGAGAACTCGAGGGGTCGAAAGGGTCGCAAGGGCAGGCGTAATCGGTTTATGGAAATGATCCAGGCAGAGAAGCCGGCTTTTGATCCAGAAGATGAGAAGACCTATGGAGAATACATCGATGAGTACTACCAAATGGACTGTGAGGATATTATTGGAGATCAGCCGTGCCGTTTCAAGTATGTGGAGACCATACCCAATGACTTTGGACTAACGATAGAAGAGGTAAGAAAACTGTCACCAATTTTTAGAAACTGACTTTTAATGTTCTTTTCTTTTTAGATACTTTTGGCTAAGAACAAGGAGCTCAATCAATGGGCCAGCCTTAAGAAAGCAGTTCAGACCAGGCCCGAGCATGTGGAGAAAAAGGAGCAGCGCCTTTATAAAATGAAGGCCAAAAACGAGGATCTTAAGAGAAAGATTTTTAAAAGTCTCTACGGCGAAGGGTGAGTTATTGAAAGTTAGTAAAAGATTCTTAAATAAAACATCTATCTTCGCAGTTCCGATGATGAAGAACAGCCTGAAGAAGAGAGTCCTGCACAGGTAGGAGGTGAAACATCTACGCAAACTGAGGCACCACAAGCTCCCACGGAGCCTTTGTCGAAATCTAAAAGGAAACGCTTGAAACGAAAAGCTGCGGCAGTAGCTGCAGCCACTTCCACTAAGACTTCCACGGAGGAGGTCAAGGAAACAAAGGAACCAACCGACTCCCAGGAGAGCTCCAAGAACGACGAAGGTCCTGCAACTAAGAAGAGTAAGAACCAAGACCAGAAACCCCAAGGACCTGCGCCAAAGACTCCCAACGAAAATGCAAAGAGAAAAAATAATTTCAAGAATACTAAAGCGGCTTCTGCCGCCGAAGGACAGGCCCCAAAGAAAGCAGAGAAAGGAAACAATCCGTTTAACAAAAATACCAATAAGGACTCAAAGGGGACGCTTGAAGGACCTGCCAAACAAACGCAAAATAAGTTTAACAAAAAGCAAGCAGAGTCCAAAGGTATCGCGCCCTCGAAGGCAGATAAGTCTAATGGCAATAATCCGTTTAACAAGAAAACCAACGGACAGAGCCCAGATCAAAAGCCCTTGGCCACCAGCTTCAAAGGAAGATCCAAACAAGGAGGCGACAACGCCAATCCTTTTAAGAAATCGAACCAAGCATCCGGCACATCCTTGCCAGCTAAGAAAACGAATAACTTCAAAGCGAAAAACAGAATCAACAAAAATCCCAATGGCATAACCGACGATCGGTTGAAGGCTTACGGCATTAATCCTCGGAAGTTCCACAAGCGGGAGAAGTACGGCAAGAAGGACAGTTAATATTAGCTATAGTTTTACTTATGTACATATGATAACATATTAAAAACCGGCACGACACAATTGAATCTAAAATTCTATAGATTATTCTTCTTTAGTCGTCACATCGTCGTCGGTGGCATCTTCGTCATCCTCCGTGCTCCTCATGCGGTCCAGCTGGAGGCGCCGTTCCTGGATGCGAGTGCATTTTGGGCAGATCATATTCTTGCGCGTCAGGCAAACCCGGTGGAAGATGGAGTTGCACTGATCACACTTGATGCAGCCGTCGTCAAAGGGGAAGATCACCTCGTTGTTGCTGCAAATCTCACAGATGTAGGCCTGCGCCAGGCACATGGGGCAGGATCTGATGTGCTCGTTGAAGGTCTTGAACACGGCCTGCAGAAACTCCGCGAGAGCTCCGGTCTCCACCTGGCTCAGGTCGCTCAGGGAGTAAAATTCATTGGACTGGGACAAGTGGCGTCTGCCGCCCAGCTGCTGATCCACAAGCTTCTGTTCGGTAGCCATCCTGCAGGCGGACAGGTAGTGGCGCATGTGAACAAGGTTCTGGCGAAGTTTTTTCACAGTACACAGCTTCTCCACGAAAACAAAGAGCTTGGGGTTGTCCTCCTCCAGTCGGATTAGGGGCTTGTTAAGGAACAGTCGGATCTCTTGAAGACCCGTACGTGAGACCCGGCGAGGTGAGAAATCCCAGTTGTGGATGACGCGGGCGGGGATAAAGGTGCTATCTCCCCAGTGGCACCGAGGGCAGAAGTAAAGTCCACTGTAGTCGCACAACCGTGGCTCGATCCAGGAGCTCTTTAGATTCAATGGCGTTCCGCACTCGGAGCATTTGTATCCCTGGGCAGCCAAGCCGATCTCCGGGCAAATCTCAGAGATGGGATATTGACGTTCCGAGACGAGGACATGGGCGCACACCCGCTTGACACTGTCGATGCACTTCTGGTGGACTAGGTAGCCACAGTCGCTGCACACATACGAAGCCTGGACAACGCTCCAGATGATTGCAGTGCAGTGGTCACAGTAGTTCCTCTTGGTGGCTGCCTGCAGACGGCTCCGCTTTCCGTGGTGTGGATGATGGGGCACGAAGTGATGACCGACAACAGCCCGTATGGCGTCCATGACCACAATGTCGGAAGGAAGGGACTGGTGTGCCTCTTGGGCTTCCTCCAGCTGCTGCAGGGAATAGCGCAGGTCCACTAAATGCCTGACAAGCCATCGCCGCTCTTCGCTCAGCTCCTCGCTGAGCAGGACCAGATCTTTGCAGTGCGCAATAGCCTCTTGCAGGTCTTGGTTGTTGGCATCGCTGGTGAAAATCAGACGCCACTGCTCCCGCACCAGGGAGGCGGGAATGGGCAGAGCCCGGTACTCCCCTTGGGGGGCACTCTCCTCGGAGCCACCGCCATCGGAGTCAGCTCGGCCAACTGTTGATGGCTGCTGGTGGAGGTAGCTGCTGGCGCTCTCGTTGATGAACTGCGCCACAGAGCCAGGAATGCTGGTCAGGCTCTCGCGCCAGGAGCTCATTCTCGTGGAAAAACAAATGTGCGGTTGGAAAATTCTCTATGAAAACAGGAAAACAAAGGCAAATAGATTGGAGGCGTCTATGGAGGTGGGCGTGGATGGGGGGAGGGTGTTAGGTTCCACTTGATGGTATCGCGTTAGGCACAAAAACGGAACTGTTCACACTAGTCCGCTGACTACAAAGTATTTTTTTATGAAGTGGACTAAAACATGTTTTAAATAAAATTTAATTAGCTTTTAAGAATTAAGTCTGCCTCATAGGATATTTCGAAAGAAAAATAGAGTTTTAAAAATAAAAAATCTATTGTCATTTAGTTGAATTTGTATTCTTCTAAACATGCCACTCATTCTTATACCCTTGCAGAGGGTATTCTAATTTTGGTCAAAAGCGTGCAACGCATTGAAGGAGACATATCCACAGAGACACAGAGGGGAAAACCCCATTTTCAAGGGATCCCATCACAAAAAATGGACAAAAAATCTAAAAAATATTTTGTCTCAGGCTTTTGATGCAGAATGGTGGAAAATTGATCTAGAAATCGTTTAAGGTACTCCGCTTGAGAATCGGATGAGAATTGGGGAAGATATAGCCATCAGAGTGGACCCTATAGGGGAAAACCCCATTTTCAAGGGATCCCATCAAGAAAATGGACAAAAAATCTAAAAAATATTTTGTCGCAGGATTTTGATGCAGAATGGTGGCAAATCGATCTAGAAATCGTTTAAGATACTCCGCTTGAGAATTGGATGAGAATTGGGGAAGATATAGCCATCAGAGTGGACCCTATAGGGGAAACCCCATTTTCAAGGGATCCCATCACAAAAAATGGACAAAAAATCTAAAAAATATTTTATCTCGAGATTTGGATGCAGAATGGTGGAAAATTGATCTAGAAATCGTTTAAGGTACTCCGCTTGAGAATCGGATGAGAATTGGGAAAGATATAGCCATCACAGTGGGCCCTATAGGGGAAAACCCCCTTGTTTTACGTAAGGGTATAATCAACTTCAGCTCCGTCCGAAGATTGCTTTCCTTGTTTGAAATTAAATTTTAAAAAATGTTTCATTTTGTTTCGCCCCATTCGATGTCATAAAATTTCTATTATTTTTAAGGTAAATTTTTATATTTTACTTTTAAAAATTGACTATTTTTTTTAGATTTTACTTAAAAAATTTGAAACCTTAAATGAGAAGTCTCCATCATCCATCTGGGATATTTACAATTTTTTTTAAATATTATATTATCTTATATTATAATACATTATATTATATTATATTATATTATATTATATTATATTATATTATTATATTATATTATATTTATATTACATTATATTAAATTATAATATAAGGTAATTATAAAAGAATTCACAACACTTTTTCAATTTTTTAACTTTTTCAACTTTGCGGTTCAGAAATATAACTGGAAAAAACTGAGATATATAATATAATATAATTTAAATAAATATAAGAGTTCAATTGAAATTTCCCGCCATTTGGCGCCGTCTAACGTTCGCAAATTAATTATACTTTTTTACGTTTTTCAACTCCAAGCTTGAGTTTGAGGAGTCCTACGCGTTTTTTCCCGCGGTTCGATTCGAACCAAAAAAAAAACGCTGCTAAAAAACGCGCGCGAGTTTCTGGAAAAAGTGGAATTAATTTGCGACCGTTAGATGTCGCCAAAAATTATACGCTTTTAAATTGTAGTCTTATAAAATATAATATAATTTAATTTAATACAATATACTTCAATATAGTATAATATAAGAGTTAAATTGAAATTTCCCGCCATTTGGCGCCATACAGCGGTCGCAAGTGTTTTTCCAGGATTCGGAAATCCTTTGTCCTGTTTCCTTTTATTGGTATATGTCTTGGGAGGAGTTCTCCTTTGAATTAAATGCTGTTCTAGAATTTAGACTTGCAGATTAAAATAATTATCAAGTCTGCTACAAATGCAAATTAATTTTTTTCGAAAATGAGCCAAAATTAATAGGACGTGAAGCTAGTTAAGACTTTATTAGTCAAAAATCTAGATCGCGAGATATTAAAATGTATTTATGGCTTCTTGGAAACCAATAAACCGATTTGTCTGGCTATATACCATAAAAGGCTAATCAGGTCTGACGTCCCTTGCAGATGATCGAATTTTTCAGAACATACCAGAGCAGAAGCAAAATATTTTAAATACGGATGTGCAAGTACTAAAGATTCACGTGGTGTCGGAGAGATTCTTATCTTTTCCTCAAAATGCAAATCTTTTTTTTATCAGATTATCTCCGAAAATGCTATAGATTGTTCCAGTCAAGGCTATTCAGATCGGGTTTTATGCTAATGAAATGTCTTTTTTTTGGTTTTTTGGTACATCTTTTAGAACGATTATCGGGCCGTTTATTGGAACGGCGCTTCTAAAACGCATAAACCCGCCTGAATAAGGCCACCAAAAATGTTTGTAGATCAGGTTTCACCAGCGTAATAAAATCGGAAGAATAAAACGATGTTTTCAGATGTTTCGGCCAGATAAAGGGTTTCCAAAATGGTAACACCCCGCAGTCGGGATGCTAATTGAAAAAAATAACCATTCGCCGGGCAATGTTTCTCTTTATTGTTGTGAGGTATCTGGCGAATTTTTGGTTGGTTTTGCTTTCAAGTAAGTTTTTGTGGTTTATGCAAATCAGTGGCGACAATACAGCCGAACAAGTTTAAGCCCGTTTTCAGTATTACCTTGTTTTTGTTGGGGTTATTTTGTTTCAACGATTTTTCACGTTTTTTGTTTGCCCTCAAATCTCTGACTGGCATTTTAGCCATGTGCAACAGGTGGCCATTTATAGACCCCCTTCAGAGCAAAAAACCAAAAAAAAAAATGGGAGTACAAGTGTTTGAAAAAAGATCTATGCAAATACCAAGAGTTTGTCCGGCTTATGGTGCGTATACGCGACCAGATGAATTGGTAGAGAGGTCCGGAGCCGGAGCAGGAGCCGGTGCACGGTCAGTGGCCATTAAACAGATTACATGTTTGGCCACTGATTCACTGCCGCTAAGAGCCGTTTAAGCCCGGCGACAACAAAAGCAACAGTGGCGATAACAACTGCAGCCAGAGCACTAAGAGAAATCATTAAATAAAAATGCTAGTTAGACTTTATTTTAAATATAATGTGTGCCAAGAATAGACAAGATTTTAGGTAAAAGATTTCATATAAGCTCTAGAAAAAGAACTTCAAGTTTTTAGTCTTTTTTTGTCAGTGCATCAGACGAAGGCTGGCGGCAGAGCCGGAAAAAAATGGCCAGACAAACACCATCGCCATGGCCGGCCAAATGAATGCACAGGCATGTCGACTGGTGGAGTGAGAGGCAGGAGATGCTCCGACGAAGGCGGTTCAAGAGCAGGGCAGTTCACATGGGCAACATGAGCTGCGATGCTGCTTGAATAAACAATTGGCGGGCTTTGGGCAGCCGGCGTGCAAACAACGCGACTCCTGTGGCATCCTCAAGGGACGGCAAGGGGTGCCAAGTGGGTGGGGGGTTTGAGGAGGTGGAAGGCTGGAGACCACAGGGGACAACACGTTGCATCGGCAATTGCAAGTTCGATAAATGGCCCGGCTCTTTAATATAAACTTTGCTTGCAATGGTTTTCTGATAAGGCTAACAAAATTACGCATACGCCACATTGGCCGCTGCCGCAGTCGCAGTCGCTGCCTCGGTCGCTGCTCTTGTTCTCTCACTGAAGTTCTGCGCTCCCTTCGGCCTCTCTGGCCCAACAACTTGTATGAATGTTATCCTTTTTCCGGCTTTTGGCTTTTGGGAAGCCTTGGCGATTCGTATCAACTGCTTTTCAAATTATTTATAGAATTTGAAATGAGGCACCAGTGCGTTCCCCTGAAAATTATGCTTAGTTTTATTACTTGTAAATAATTAAGAAAGCCAACTTGCCGCACACAGCACACATGTGGGACCAGGGGCACATGTTGTTTGTCTATTAACTCCTTTTTTCCCCCATCCCCTTTTAGTTTTTCCCCTTTACTTTGCCAGGGCTTATGAAGCCGCCTGGGAACTAATTTCTGCTGCTCTTAACCCTCTTCTTAGCCCCATCCACCATTGCCACAAAAGTTAAACGAAAGTGTTGCCCGTTGGGTTCGTCTCCAGTTGGTCCTATTTATAGCCAAGTGGTTTCAACCAAGTTGCTGCAGGATCTGAGGAAGCACTGCACCTGAAGTTTTCGCAATGCAGCGGAAAATTGCACTGGGCTCTGCAAAAGTGGGCTTTGATTAGACTCGCATGAGTTCTGCCGGCCAAAAAAAACAAATTGGCTCGGAGAGTGTAAGCCAGGTTGAATAGAATGTGGTAAATATTATTATAAATTAGGATAAAAGCTAAGAAAATTTATATAATATGGAGATGTTATTGGAATCGTATATTATAGTCTAATTTGTTATAATTAAAGGTAAAATATAATATTATTAATATTCATATATCAAAAATAAATATATATAAAATGAAAACCGCATTTATCAGGTGTCACCTAATTCGATTAACAATATATAAAGCCAGTTTTGTTTCATTAAATAAGTTATATTTTGTTTTTAAAAGTCACTTGTAGTCTCCCCACTCCCCCCACTCTCCTAAAAAGTTATCAACTACTTCGAATTCTCGCAAACAATCCTTTAATTGCATTTCGAATTTTGCCCGCCATCGATAGTGGCAGTGGGAGATACAAAAGTATCTGCCAAACAGTAGCCGCCGCTGTGGCATTCTCTCGCCTCGGCTGGCGTCGGCGTTAGCGTTGGCGTGGACAGAGCAGCAGGCCCGGCAGCGTTGTAGCGCCGCTGTCGATGTCGCCGTCTCAGTCTCAGTTGGTCTGCGGAACGGAGCGCATCCATCGCATTGAAAGATACATCGCGAAAAAAAGATACAAGCGCGTGTGATAGCGATTTTTGCCGGCTGAAATTGGTACGGAAACATAAATGTAAACAATAGTGATGAAATACAAATAAAGCAAGGATTTAATATAATTTAAACAAATAATTGTGATTAAGAAAGTGTTTTTAAAGTTAAAACTTTATCAAAAAAAAATCCAAAAAGTAGAAAAGTATCTGAAACCTAAAAATACTTTAATTACCTAAAAGCCTATAGGAACTATCTCTGGAAAAATTTTAATTTTTTAATAAAAAAAAATAGTTTTATAAAAAATAGTATTGTTCTCTGTGTAATAGTGCCTTTGAAGACTATTGGGCTCAGTCCCTATACATCTAAATTGTGTGATTTGTGTTGAAAAGTCTCTTTATTTCCTTTATGGCATTTGTTGTCCTGTCCCGGAGAACAGAACAATGTCAATGCCAGCCCCGAATATCCCTTAAAAGTCCATTTTGATCTTCCAGAAGTGTCATCCCCCTGATTAAGCCAATATAGGCCCATTTTGTGCAGTGTAGTGATTTACTAAAACGGAATACCCAGGACAAAGGAACCGGGCATAAAGAAAGTGTCTGCTTGGAGGGCATTGTGATAGTGTCCTGTCCCAGGAAGCTGTCGCCCTAAACTTTTGCGGTTTCGAAAAAAGGCCGACATCCGCAGCCTGCAGAAGTCTGGAGGAATCCAGTGACATTGCTTGACTGACTGAGGCTGAGGTGAGTCTGAAAACATTTACCTTTGAGGACGATTTTCGGTCAATTCCATCGAAACCACATTGCCCCACTTGAAGTAGAATAGAAGCCGGGAGGAAATGCCAAATGTCTAATGCGATAATTATATCCGAGTGGCGCTTTCATTTGCCTTGTTGAATAACATTCACTCTCCATCCGTCCGACGACCATATCATAGCTTCGTACAAACATCGCCAAAACAAACAAAATAGTCGAAAACAACGGCAATGAACTGAAAATTAACTATGCTCGTTTGGCCAGCTCATTAATAAATAAAACTTTGTGCAAATACAGACAGACACGGTCTGGCCCGCCCTTGATGTTGCCTCAAATATTGGCACAAGAATCTGTAATCGGGAATAGTCACTTTGGTAATGTTTGGTTAGTTATGAAGAAAAAATGAATTATTCATTTTTATCAATTCGGCGGAAGGATGATTGGGTAATAATACATTGTACCCGCTCCAAGTGCTATTTCACTTCACAGATTAATCCGATTTCTCTCAGTCAGCTGATTCCGACATTAATGATCTTGCAACTGCAAATTGAAGCTGTCGCCGGGGCTAGGCCATATCTCAATTTTTGCATATTTATTGCCGATCAGCTCTATATATATTAACACAGCGATAATTGCATATTGCAAGCGGCAATTATTGGATCTCAAAGTGTAAGATAATCGATTGCAAGCATTTCTTGGGTGGCGTCTTCTTAGGAAATACTTGATGTGAATTCCAATTGCACTGATTAACTGGCTTTGATTGATTGGTTCTGGAATTCCTTGGCGGCAATCCTTAGAGAGACACCGGCATAATTTTTTATTGCCGCCGAATTGTCATCAGCCCGCATGTCCCCAACTTGTCTTAATTAAATGGCAACTGACGGGACAAAAAAGTTTTCTGACAACAACACATTTTCGGTACACATTTGTTTGGCGAAACCCTGGGCCCGACATGGCCAACACTGTTGAAAGTTTCCCCCTTTGTTGCCACTGCTGCTGCTGCCACTGCTGACTCTAATTCAACAGATACCATGGCAAGCGGCGGCGACAACTGGCAGAAAAACAAATGTACTTTGATGTAATACACACAAACATTGCGAATAGTTGCAAAAAGGGAATGCCACCAATATTAGTTGCAGGAGCCCCGGGTGCGGCCTAGTGGGGGACTCCCCTTTGCGGCCCAAATCAGAAACCAGAGCACACTGTGTGCCAATTTAGAGGCACACTTTTTTTTACAAAAAGTATAAATCTTCATATAGCTAATACTAGACAGTGACATGAGTCAGTGGGTTTTCACTAAAAAACCAATAAACAATAACACAAATGAATTAAAATTTGTTACAAATTTGCATGAATGCAATAACGATGCCGTCATGTGAGTGACTCAAAAAGACTGAGCCTCAAACCGATCTTTACGTCTCAATTAGGTCATTGGTGAATGGTTGGTGCGAGTGGCGCGATTTTGCAAAATATTTAAATTAGAAACATGCCCAGTACCCGGCACTTGTTGCACGATTAAGGCCTGTTCGCATCTCATAATAATATTGTTAAATGAAACCAGCAAGTCCCCAGCTAAAAGATTGAAAGGGGCTGTCTTCAAGACTCCTCAAGTCTGCAAGCTACAGAGCGAGAAATTCAAGAGTAATTTTAGCCTATATAGGGGTTTAATATTTCGGTAAAAATACGGGACCTCCCTTGCAATCTAATGATTATATGAGATCTATTTCCCATATTTTAGTACCACTTTACAATCATTTTGATTAAAATATTTCCATGTGCACTATCGCAAAGTAAACTCTTAAATCAAGTAGCCGGGTAACAAAATTAAGAAAATATATGCCGCAAAATAAACAGCCCGCAGACAGGCAGAGCGAGTGAACAGGTTTGGGGCATTAGCGCGGCCTTACACTGGGATTGACTTTTCAGATGCATCCCAGAGGCAGTTGCATCCCACAGATACGTGTTCGCGGGCCAAGTGAAAATAGCTGTCCATGTCCGTGTCCATGTTTACATAAATATTGGCTCGCAAGTGTTGCGCATAATTGTTAAGCAAGATTAGCGTGAATTATTGGCGGTGGGCGTGGCATGCGGGCATTAGGATTAGCCCTAATCAGCATTTTTTACTCGAGGCTCCATCCATTCCCACGTTTTCGATTTTGGGCCATATCTGTGCTTCGAGTTCAGAGAATTCTGTCTACTGCAAGTTGCGCCCTGAATCATCTGCTGACCTTGCGATGCATCTCGTTTCATTGTCTTCCCGATCTCTGGTTGCCTGGACAATGCCCATTGTCCCTGGCAGTTTATGCCTTTCGATTTCAGTGCTCTTCACAAAGCGATAAATTGTCAGATGTTAGCCTGTCATTTAAATAATAATTTAAATCATAATTCCCTGTGATTGCCCGGCGTTTGTATTACTACGTCTTCATCACCTCCGAGAGCCGAGTCCTATAATTATTCGGAGCCGATATGAGTCTGCCTTTTAATTGCCCTTGTATGAAAGCTATTAGCGATAGCTATCTGCGGCTAAAATGTATCAATTTAATTTATGCAAAACGCCTGAGCTGGCGCCTCGGATTGAGTCGCGCCCGGAATGAGCTGCCCGTGTTAACAATAATTGGCGGCAGTCTCTTTAGAGCGCGTGCGCAACGCAACCCGTTTAATCTAATCGCAGACCGTGGGCCGGCTTGATTTTTATAAATAAATTTTTATTTCGGGCCGATCGCAGCACTATCTGGCAGGTCGATCGAAAGACAATTAGCCAAATAAGTCGCCGGCCAGGTCCTAATTAATTGGCATGCATTGTGTGTGTTGCCGGCTCTTGACGGGCTGCCAAGTTGGCCGAAAGGCGCGACTTTTGCAAAGGAGTTATGCAAAAGCTGCAGTTCTCGATTGTAAAATCTCGGTTTTCGATTTCGAGTTGGCTACCATAAATCTTGAACATGGATTGCAGTTGTCCTCCAATCCGATTTATGGAAACTTTGCGCAAATTGAAATTCATGCATACTCATTCCGCGGACATCAATTTGACGTAATGGGAATTAGTTTACATTTTACGACTATATTTTCGATCCGGAGTTGTGGAGCAATTACTTCAAAAATATATATACATACCCAGCTGTAGTCTAGGAAACTAGTTTTCTGCCTAATGAGCACAGATTTGAATTTATAAATCGATTAAAAGAAAATGTAAACAAACACGGGCTAGCAATAAATTTATGTTTTTTCCGTGCGATAGCAGACATTATTTATTTTTAGTGAAAGCCATAAAAAATTATGAAACATGGGGAAATTATTTGATAAGAATTTAAGACTAGGTCTTTGAACCTGCCTATTTTTGTCGATTTATGCGCCTTTTTTCTCCGAGTGTAGTATTCAGATTTTATTGAATGGCTTGGAATTTTCAAGGTGGTCTTCACAAAATGCATTAAGATCTTTCAGCGGATTAGATTGATTGCGTAATCCTCGAATTTATTTTTACGCAGATTGGACATTTCAATTAGAAGTCGTATATATATCCGATTTCGCTGTTTCCAGGGGCCCTAGCCATATATTTTTAGACACTTTTGATTTAGACTATCATCGGACAGGCCTCTTCCGTCATAAATTCACATTTAATGCGTTTCATTACAAAACATGGGGAAGGCGTCTCTTTGATGGACCAGCTGCTTCAGCTAACTCAGAGATAACACTATGAAGTCATTGCAGAAAAAATCTATTCATATTGCTATTGCTATAGAGCGTATATATGCAATGTGCTAGGCTTTATATTTTTCTTTCTTGTTATTTTTACGTATAGCCGCGACAATGAACTAAATACGCGCTGGACGGCGCGACGTGCTAGCCGGTTAATATATTTATTTATTACTTCATTTCATTATCTCCGGCACGGACACGTCAATGGGTAGCTTCGCCCTGGGCTACTTGGGTTGGGGGTCAGAGGGTATGCTCCTTGGAGCAATAGCCACGTATGGGTAATGCGAACTTAGCCGGCGAGTGTGTGACTTATCGACATCTAGCGTGGCTCGGCCTGCCGCTTCCGTTTCCTGCTCTTGGCAGACGAGAGCCATTCTCTCGACAACTCGCTACTTAACCTTTCAAGGAGGGCCAACATCCTAGCATCCCATTAGTCCCCCACCCTGTCAGCGCATTGATTATTAACACAGGACTTTTGGCTTTATTGCCTGGACTGGCGTTCGGGTGCGTGTCCCGGCCAGAAGATGGCCCTCGAGCATCGGATTGCCCTCGCAGTCGAGCTAATAGATTTTTTGTGTGTTTATCTGGTGACAGTGGGAGCAGCACTCGGTGATTGCCAATCAACTCCAATCAAATGGGTTTCGTCTATGTTCCTGCCCGTAAGCTGATAAGGGGCTTTCGCATCATGCATCATCACAAATCCCGCATCACGCATACGCCACCGGAACCCTGACCACAAAACTACATACAATGTGAAAAATACATAATTCCTGAAAGAGCCAGCCAGACAAAATTTAACAAAAGCATTTTAATTTTATGCGAAAATGAGCAATAGCAACTGGACAGATAAAATGGAAATAAACCGGAACGTTTATAGGACTTTTATGGGCCATCCCGTTGGCTGCTGGGCCCTACATCTGTTGATGCCACAAGGTCGGCGCTAGATTGCTAGAACAATTTCGAATCAATTACCTCCCTGACACGCAGCTGTCATCGCGGACGTTAAAGTGTGAAAATTTAAGCTTTTTATAGAGCAGACTTTTTCGAAATTAGGGTATCACTTTGGCGACTTTTTCCGCTCCAAACATTTCTCGTGAATTTTCCATGAAAATAAATAATTTGTCTATTTTCTTCGTGGCCCGCCTAGCGTATTGCGCCAGAAATTTTATGAACTTTTGCTCCATTTCGAGTTACTTGGCTGGCCAAATGCCAGGCAACGCCAGGCGGAGACAGAACGGGGCATGCAACAAACTAACTGAATAACTGAGGAGGCACAAAAGGAAAGGGCTTAAAGAGGACATCCAGCCAACCTTGAATCCCGTGGCGAGAGCAAGAGTTCAACTACCTATTTTGGGTTTTGCATTGCCAGGGATCGTTGATCAATGGTTGCCTCCACAAGTGGCCAAAAAAATTACATTCAACATGCAAGATAAGCGGGCAGAGGCTATAAATAACTGCAAAGCATTATAATGACAGCAATAACGAACACGCTGATGCTTTGGCGCTCCCCATTCATCAAGTTCGATGGGACACGCACTGCCTCAGATCCAGAGATCTCCCATCCCAACATCATGATGCCCCCCGCCTGATGCACATTTCATTGAACTTTTTGGCCGTCCACGCCTTGGTTTTTGGGATTGCGACAACATGTTGCACATGGTACATGGCACAGGCCTTCCAGCTAAGTGCAATATGAGTAGCACTCGTCGCTTTCAGATTATTTAAATCGCCCCTCGGCAGCTGCCATGCACAGGGAGAAATTAGATGAATTCCTTCCTTTTTATTAGTAAGAAGTATAGACCCTACAGATTCCCACAGTGTACTGACCCAAGAGGGAGCCGCTGCTGTACTTCACTCCCTTAGGCATTTGGCCAATTAGGAAGACTTCGAATTAGCCACGTTCTTTGGCGGCAGATGGGGGTCGGTATGGAATTTATATTGAAATAGATCTGGGAAGGCGGATCATCGGTAGGTATTTATAATTTGTGTTTTGTGCCATTTTGCGTGTCTGGCTATTTCACTTTTTATGATTCCCGTTTCCCGACATCGCCATTATCAAGGGAATTAACCCAAATGCTAAACACAAATGCTAGAAGGAATCATAAGTCAGTTGAGTTTTTTCGCGAAATGTTACAGAGAAATATTTACAGCAAAATTTATTGGCATTTTTCAGAGAAAATAACTCATAGTGCCAGCGTCAGAAATCCTTTAAATGATTTGCAAAAATATTTCGCGTTGTTTCTCTTCAACGCCTGTCACGGGGATATATTTTATTTTTGCCAATTGGGCTCATCGACCTCATAATTTGAGGTACGTATGAGTGCACACAGATTGTTGGAAATTAAACAAAAATAAATCGTTTGCCAAGTTCAAAAACAAAAAGTTAGCGGATAAAGAGTTCAAATTGGCTCATTAACTTTCGAATCTGGTGTGTTTCTATTGTGCAAGTGATCCATGTGGGCCCTGATCTTCCATTTGTTATGATTATGCTTCTGAAACCGCATCCCACTCTTCGCACCGTTTTGGCCAATATCGAGTTACGCCTGGAGATAAGCCGATCCGGTTTATCTCAGCGTGCAACAGTTGGCCAGCTTGGGTTTCGATGCATTCTTTTGCCTTTTTATGAAGATTTAAGAGCTTTAGGAGTTTTTAGTATTTTCCACCTTATGTGATCGCATGCCAATCACACTTTGATGGGCCTTTGTAAACGTGTTAGCCTTAAAAACAAATCAAGTCAAATTCGGCATGCAAATTGCCAAAAGGGCGGCGTTCCAAGGCCAATAAACGTCTTCAGATGTCAGCCTACTCTTTGGAAGCCCCCGACCTCCGACATGGCCCGGCAAGTACATTGCAAGAAAAATTGAAAAACATAATATCAACAAAGCTAATAGTTCACTTAGGGGCGCAGAACCGTCGAGGAAAAGAGCTAAGGTTAAGGTGGAATAGTGGAATACTCTTCATGTCAGACACTAAGGCTCTAACATTTCTGATATGACAATAGCAATAGAAATCTAAAGAAGAGTATTTTATTTCAAGACTTCAATAAATAATAAAATAAAACACCATCTTTGATATAACCTCTGGAAGTGCAAGCCCAGACAACCGATTTTTGCCTTTCTTGCTGTCAGAGCAAGTTGGTTCTTCGGATGACATACTGGCACAGTTTCCTTCACCTCGGTGGCCCCCTTTGGGTCGCACTGAGCCGATTTACTATGGAGAATAAAATTTTATTAGAATATTCCACACTTTTTTGTCTTGCGTGAGGTTTGGGGGTTTCCCTTCATTGGGTCTCCGTTGGGTTTTAAATGTGCAACGCTCTGACGACTTTCGAATGTGATGGGCTTTACTTTTTACGACCCGGGACTCGGGGTCGGAGTATTTTGATTTAAAACAAAAAGTGTCCAGTATTCGCAGCTCACGCAACAGTTGCTTCTGCTAGTTTCAATAAAATTTTATCGGTTATTGATTTCTGGAAGTGCATATGGTGCCGGCCCAGGATGATCCGATCGGGGCGGATGCAAAGCGGAAAATCATAATGACTCATAAATACGGAATATGAAATACATGAAACTTTGATTTGGGCCACACAGAGCATTTTATTTATTATGGCTCTGCTCTTCCATTCGACACTTTTGTTTCATTTACATACCGCTTCCCTCCAACCACGCCCTGTTTGCCGGTTAGGCCCCAATAATCGTCCGTACGTGCGACCCATTCTAAACAAACGGACGGAGTGTTCTGCAATCTCTGCGGGAGCCAGACAATTGCGTTACCATACAGTTGGGGGGGACATAGTAGTATCGAAAACCAGGAAAGAATTTTAGTCAATGTGTCTAAGCAAATAAAATAATGAAAAATTCCATAAGATAAATATTACTGATAAATAATATCTTGTTAGATATGATCATGACTAGACTTTCTTAAGATCATGAAGATATGAGATTATTTATCTCTGCACAGGTAGTATAATCTTTCCCGCCACTGTCTCCCCTTGAGGATCGGGAAAGGGGAGACTACCAGGCCTCTGACATTGGCCACGCGGTCTGTTGCACGTGCTTGGCGGCTTCTCGTCTGTGAACTGCATAAACGCTGCCTCATTATGTCAGGGAGCCAGTTGCGTATGGAATCTCCCAGCCACACCAATCCAGACAGGAAAGACACGGCATAACCAGAATCGCCAAGAGTTCGAATTCCTTCAAGGGGATTGTTCAATTTTTACGACTGCTTGTTCTGATATTTTGCTTTTTTGGCGCCTAATGATGCCATTAAGTGCTCTGGGCAGATTGTAATACAAGCTGTTCCCCGAAATAAAGCAACAATAAATTTGTGGGGATTGTAAGAATTCCGGTTGGGGTAATTCCTTTTTAAACAAGTGACGCAATTGTGTGATAAGTTCTAAATAAAATTTAAGCCCAATAATGACGAATGGTATGTGACTTTGATGTGTCAGCAGGGCCGTGGTGTTTTGATCTTGGAAGTGTTTTGGGGGATGCTGTCAGTGGTCTAATTGAGACAAGAAAACACTTTCACTTAAAGCTCACAATTGGGAATAATTTGCATGCCAGACCCAAGAACATCTCGCTCAGTTCTTGATGTAAGCCCCGCTTGATAAATATTAATTGCCAGCCTCTGTCCACTGACAATTTGAGGTCAGCGGCCCAGTTCCCGTCAGTATCGTGAGCAGTATCTGGGAGTTGGCGCCCATTAATTGTGTTAGATTATGCCCACACATGGCCGTAACAGAATGGGTTTATCAGCTGCCCTTGGCCACGGACAATTACCCAACAAGTAGCAGCTGATCTCAAAATGATTTATTGACAAAGTTTTGTATTTTTGGGATAATGCCTCACACTGATCTCTGACCCGGCAGCGACACAGTGCCCCTCATAAACAAAGTAGTTTTAATCTTTTCTGGGTTACATTCGATTATAGGTGTGTCCCCGTTGCTTTGTAAACAATATTTGTACTGACAGAAAAATGGTGATTAAAGTACAGAGTAATTACCATTATTTGGCAATCTCTTCAATCGATCCAACTCCCCCGAACGACGCCTAGACTTGTAGACTTCCTCCTCTTTAAAACCGAATATATTCTGAGCCAAAAGAAGACCAACCGCAAAGTTATTGTGTGGCTTCTCAATGAGCTGCCAGTATCTTCTGGGTGTGGGCGATGGATGGGCTGGGAAGAGGGCTTGCGGTTGCAGCGAGGTTGCAATTACAAAATTTAGTCGTCAGAAAGCAGAGTTGGCCCAAACCGTCTGCATATGATTCCAGCCATCGAGTCAAGTGTGCAGACTCGTGTTACCAATCCCCGTGCCAATAATTGCGGCCGGCGGGAAATAAAGTGTCTGCGGTTGGTTTATTTCCACGCACATGCTGGCCATAATTTTGGCTGGGCCACCTTTGTGGATTGATATTGGGCTTAAACTGGAGTGGCTTTCAATCACTTATACTTTCAAACTGCAGCGGAAGTTGTTAACTAATTTTTATCTCCTTTCTTTTCAGCATTCCGGCTCAGATCAAGATGCAGTGGCTATTTCTGGTCCTGGGACTGGCCTCGACTCTGCCGGCCCTGGTCTTTGGCTCGTTTCTGAATGGCCAGTCCATTAAAGGTAAACCATTATCTAGTCAAGCGACAGATTATAACATAATTTGTTTGTACTAACAAAGTTAAAAAAAATAATAAAAATAATGCAAATAAAGGACGTGAATTATACGGTAACAACTTTCCTTAAACTTTTATTGTTTCAATAATTATTTAGAAGTAGTTTTTCACATTATTTTAGATATCATTAAATATATCTTTAGGCAAAATATTTATATTTTATTATATTTTCTTATAAAAGCTAAGAAGCCCTAATTTTTCTACATGGCCACTAGAAATCATTGCATACTTCGAGGCTTTGTAAAAATGACTATTAGTCACTAAACATTGTAGCCTATATTTCGGAGCCATTCATATGAATTCTGAAAAATACTAATATTTTAATATTTTTTCATTTTTAGATGCTCTGGCCGAATACACACTGACTGACATCTTGAATAACAACCAATTTTCGGGCATCGAGTTCGGGCAGGCGGAGGACGGGTTCCCCGCCTTCCGGTTCCTGCCGACGGCGGACGTGATGTCGACGTACCGCATGGTCCTGCCGGAGAAGCTCTACGAGTTCACCATCCTGATCACTTTCCGGCAGAGCTCGCTGAAGGGCGGCTACCTGTTCAGCGTGGTGGACCCCGGGGACCAGGTCGTCCAGCTGGGCGTCCACTTGTCTCCGGTGGTCAAGAACAGCTACAACGTGACGCTGGTCTACACGCAGGCCGACCAGAAGGTCAGCCGCAAGCTGGCCAGCTTCAGCGTGGCTCATGTCCCGGACAAGTGGAACTCGATCGGCCTCCATGTGCTCAGCGACCGGGTGGGCTTCTACTATGACTGCGAACTGCTGAACACCACGATGGTCACCAAGGAGCCCATCGAGCTGGTCTTCGACTCGGCCTCCTTCTTGTACATAGGCCAGGCTGGCCCCACAGTTGGCGGAAAGTTCGAGGTAAGTTCTACGGCGGCCAGTTACCGTGTACTATTTTGATCTTATTAATTCATTTTTTTGATCAATGGAATAATTTTCGAAACGCACTTCAGAGCACTTGTTTTGTTGGCCAAGAATTAATTGAAGTGGAATTTTATTACAGCAGGGGGTGGCCAAGAGTTCAATTATGTTAAAGGGGGACTACAACATAAACTATATGGTTTGGAAATCTAAAAAGATAAAAACCCATAAAAGATTCTAAGAGCTTTAATGTTTTCCTTTGATGTTTTTCTCTGTGTACAGAGGTCTTCTCAACAGTGAAAGCTTTTCACCTCTCTAGTGGCGCCAAAAGGCCATCTGGCGGTGGAAATTTCCAACCCTTAGCACCCTTAGTTGCCACTCGAAAAAATCCACTCAAGGATTTTTCTCTCGTTGAAAGGAAAATGAAAATGGGAAAATCTTACTCTCATCCATTTGAGCTGCATTTCGAGTTGTCAGCAGATTTCTCTTCAAACACCACTCGGCTTTTCAAAACCGACCGACGGTCGTTTGTGTTGTCTGTGGCACGAACAGATTGCCGTGATTTGATGGGCCTCCTTGGGCGGCGGGAGCGTTTACCTTTCAGTTGCGTTCGCGTTTTCCAACAGTTCAGACCGCCACCGGGTCGGGGCTAAGATGAATTTGTTGTTGCCTCCGTGCGGTCCTCGGTGCTCGTCATTGCCATCGACTTCGACTGCGACTTCGCCTTCGTCCTTGCTCCGTTTGTCTTCGTCCTGCGTGTCGGGCGTCGTGAGTGCGGTGGCAGCTGCTGGTCTAGCTGCCACGGATACTACGGATACTACGGCTCCAAAAACAACTGCAAATGGAGCTCGTGTGCTGGCTTAGCGGCAAAGAATGAAAGTGATTTATTTGGCCAAATGAAATACATGCTCCGCTAAGATTGCTGGCCGAGACCGAAGTATATCCTTCACGAAAATCGAGTCAATTAAAATTCAATTATGCGAGCAAAGATGAAGGAGAGGCCGCGCAAGCGTTTGAAAATTCGACCGCTGAACTCATCCTGACTGAATCGAAAGTCCACAACTGCCATTTAAGTGTTCCCCTCCTTTATATCTGGCACTATATGTCCTGGCAATCGATCATATCATTGAGACGCACATATCGTGAACGAGCTAGACATATCCCGAGCTAGACTGTGTACTCGAAGTACTCGTAATCAGCAATTACTTTTAATCCTTGTTCTAACTAGTTGTTGAGTGTTATTTGTTGTCTGTTGTTGTTCGCGGTGCCGGTGACTTTCAAACGGGAAGCTCCTGCTGTTCCTGCAGCCAGCCTGTTCAAACGGAAATCAATCAATTGCACAATACCGGAGTGCATGCGGTGTGAAAAAGTGAATTAATTGCACAGAACGACGTCAAAGCTAAGAAACACAGTGAATGCAGTTCGAACAATAAAAAAAAAAAATACAATAAAGAAATACGTACATATATAATTGGAAACGAGACCATGTGCTGTCATTTGTAATTACAAATGAGTCTGACAAAAAAAAACCGCCACATATAGCTCGCAATTGCAATAAATTTTAAGGCAAAACTCATACCTATAAATAAGGCAAAGTATTTGCAATTAAATTATCTGTGATTTTTCGTCAACATATTAAATATTTTCGCGCATACCCAACATAATATAAATAAAACCCAATTTGTAGCATAATTTAAAGTGAAAAGTGAATCCGAAGTGCGATCGGCCTGAAGGTAAATATCAGAAATGTCAGGATTGCCAGGACGACGCACTCTCACACACAAATGGTTTTGGGGAATCTGGCGGGCGCATAAATTATGACAGGCTAGGCCGGGTCAAAATCCTGCCACTCAGGACATGTGTGCAGGACCTCGTGGATTGGCTGGGTGCCTTGTTGCTGGCGAGCCTAAATCAATGGCAAACTCATTAAAGCGCCAGCGAAAACTGTTTTCCCTCCCATACCCTCCACCAGCCGCAGCCAGAGCTCCCGGCTTTCCCGCTTTTCTCGCTCTCATTTCCCAATTCCCCACTTTTCACTTCCAACATTCCCACTTTGCGCCTCTGCATATGCATATTAAAGCAGCACGGGGCGTATGCGTAATATTCGTATGTGCGATATATATCTGTGTGTGTATTGTGGTATATATATATACATTTATAATATTGTGGGCTGTCGCTGCCCCCGGCACTAGCCGCCCGCCGCCTGCCTTTTGTCTTGGAAGGTTCTTCGCATATGGCCGAGAGGCTAAGGGAAATACGTTTTATTTATTAAATAAAAATGCTGGCTGCGCTCCCATTTGGCCGGGTTGTTAATGGGCGCGAGCACAAAAGCCCGACTGTTTTTGAGGATAAAGCGAAAGTTAACCCTTTACAAAGACGGCCCGCAGACTAGACAGGACTCCTCTTAGGACTCTTTGAGATTTTTGCCTTAAAGTCCTTGGCCATTTAGACTGCACTTAATTGTTTCCCTGGTATATGGAAAATTTCAATTACAAAACAAACTTTGCTTGCATTTCGTAAGTGATCATAAATATTCATGCAATGTTTGGCCGTTGTTTGCAACTTTGACTTTCACTCCTGCCCCGGCCCCCGCCTCCGCCCCACTCACTTTCCATAATACGCAATTTTGATTTTGATTTGTAAATTTATCAATTTATCATCATAATGCAATATTAGAATCCATTACGCCGACACAATTCCGAAATTCAATTTGAAATGTTTATTTACATATTCGGCTCTCCACAGCAACCCTTCCTTGCTGACCTCACCCACTTGATTGTGTTGCAAATTAGTTTTCGTCCTTGTCCAGGACTCATTCAGAATTGACCAGTTAGCATTGTTTGGCCAGTTCATACTCGGTCAATATGCTACATGTAGGGGAAACAGAAACAAACGCCTTTGTTTTTTATCGGGAATAATTGCTTTCCCTATTGAAATATGTTCTTTAGGTTCTTTAGTAATTTTTAGTTAAAATTTATCAAGCATAGTAGCTTATGTTCCACTAAAAATAGCTTTGAATATATAAAGGAATTCATTTCCATAATGAAACGATAGATCTGCCCCCCCAATAAGCATATATCGTCTTTATTTCTGCCCGAAGGACGGCCATGAGAGCCATGTAGGGCCATAGCTTTTGTATTTATGCCCATAAATGGATTTTTTATTACGTCTGGAGCTGCAGGTCGTTAAAGTTGTACATATTCGGTGCCATTTTATGATAAACCCCATCTGAGTTCAGAGTTCAGAGCTCTGATTTCTGGTTAACACATAAAACCCTTACAAAAATGCGAACTGAACGGAAACGTCTTTGATGACGACGAACTATGATTATTTTGTAATTTTATGACTGCCCCCGGAAGAGGCACAAGCCCCAACCAATGGGGCGTTACCAATAAACATAAATTATGCAAATTTTTGACTTTAATTATACGAGCTGATAGAACCGCCCCTGCTACCGCCCCCGCCTTCGTCGATTATTTGGTTTGTTATTAATTAAACGGAGCCTCCATGAGCGCGTTTTAATCATTGGGAACACGCGTCCTTATTACCATCTGTGGAATCATATAGTTTACCCCCCCCACATTGGGGGGGTCTCTGAGAATGTACCGGAGGAGCTGTCGGGCTTATCGATCAAACGATACAAAAGTCCCCGCCCTGAGGTTAGACATTAGACATTTCTTCCAGTGACGTTTTGTTTTTTTACTCCACCCCCAGTCGCAGGGATTCATGTGTGACACATGTACGGGTGTATTTCCATTCCATTCCGTTTCCGAACCCACTCCCTCCCATATCCTTGCCGACCTTGTCACAGATAAGTGCAGACAAAGGAAACTTTGTGCGGAAGACGGTGCTTATTAAAAATTACACGTCAAACATGGAAACCCAAAACGCACACACGAGATGAGTTGGCAGAACTAACTGGCTAAGGGCTGGCTTGTTTCTGGCTGGAAACCCTTTTTTAAATATGTCGAGCCATTATCTTCATTAGGCGCTAATGTCCGAAAGGGTTTCCCCATCACTGACACAACTATTTCATCCTTTTAAAAGTTTTCCTCGGCCGGATTTAACTTTTCGGCTGCCATGACAACTTCAAAAGTCGTTACTCATTTTTGTGTACTTAATTTGGAGAGGAGATATGCAGATCGTCCTTATCGCAGCACCATCCTTTCCATTTTTTGCCGGCCAAGGAGCCAGGGATTCAGGGAGCAGGTAATTTCATTAGAGAACTTGAACCGCGTCAAACTTTAAGCTTTAACTCCGAAGGCCTCCGACGGCCTGCAGTCGAATGTGGCGGCAGAATTTTAATGCCGCGTGAAGAATGCCAGGGGTGTCCTTTGGGAGGAATCCTTCGGACTCAAAGCGACCGGGAACAGGGATGACAGGGTGGAGATGTGGCCGGTCGCTTGACTTGGCATAAAAAAGTTTCTTTTCGGCTTGGCTTCCACTTTTCGGGGCGCGCTAACCAAAAAGTTTGTGTTACGCCGCCTTCGCCGACTCCTCGCTCAATAACTGGTTGGCTTTTCACCCAAAAAAGGGGCGTTCTGGCGGGTTCAGGGGCGTGGCCGGGGTGTTAAGGACTTAAGGTGAGCCGGGGAGGCGGCTCTAGACTGACACGATTATCGTAATTATGCGCCGTAGTAGCATACTTTTGTGATGGAGCTCCTGTTGTGTGTAGGCAGGGTATACTGTACAGTATGCGTGTGTCTGTTTCGGCCAACTTTTGCCGCAATTATGTAGGTTGCCAAAGTTGTTGGTCTCATTTTATTTTTATTTTTATTTCACTTTCACTTCTACCGGCCCCCAACCCCTCCAAGGACGCTGCAAAACATTCGGCTTATGCCTTTATGCGGTTGCCAAAAAAACAGAAAACGGGCGTGAGGGGGTGGCAGTTTTTCTAACAAGACATCTTGCCAACATGTGACCAATTTCAGTGCTGCCACTGACGTGGCTATAATTCAATATTTTTTGGCCAAATAAACTTGTTGGCAGCTTAACTTTTT